CCCGCCGCCGCCCTCACGGCTTCTCCCTGTCTTGCAGGTGGCAAGTACGTGCCCCGAGCCGTGCTGGTGGACCTGGAACCCGGCACCATGGACTCGGTGCGCTCCGGGCCCTTCGGCCAGATATTCAGGCCAGACAACTTCGTGTTCGGTGAGTGCGCCGGGAGCGGGGGAGGGACCTGCCGTGTAACCGGCTCGGGGTGGGGTGGGGAGGGCAGGGCAGGGCCGCTGCACTGCGGGCTGCACCGCCCCGCATGCTCCGGGAGGGGGGTTAATCCCCACCGCTTCGTGACGGGCGTGAAATACCGGGGATCTGCGGACCGGGGGCGTGATGGCAGCCGCTGGGAGAGCGGGTCTGAGAAGGCACAAGAGGTCGTTGCTCTTCCGATTCTCATTATCTCCTCCATAATGCCAGGAGAAATCAAATACCAATGGTATCATTGATATAACGAATGTTCTCCCTGTGTCTGCCGAGCCATTTCAGAGGTGCTTGTGTGAAACCGCAGCTCTCTGCTCAATAAAATGAAAGCTTTTGTGGGGGTTTCTCCGTAGCCTGATGCTCCTGAGCTTTGCTTGCAAGCAATAAGCAGGAAGCAGTGACCGTAATCTAATACGAAAATGGCTCTCTTCCAGGTCAGAGCGGAGCAGGAAACAACTGGGCAAAGGGCCATTATACGGAAGGTGCTGAATTAGTTGATTCCGTGTTAGATGTTGTAAGAAAGGAGGCAGAAAGCTGTGATTGTCTCCAGGGCTTTCAGCTTACTCACTCTCTCGGTGGTGGCACAGGCTCTGGTATGGGTACCCTCCTCATCAGCAAAATCCGTGAAGAGTACCCTGACCGAATTATGAATACTTTCAGTGTTGTACCCTCCCCTAAAGTATCAGATACTGTAGTAGAGCCCTACAATGCCACGCTCTCGGTGCATCAGCTTGTGGAGAACACAGATGAAACATACTGTATTGATAACGAAGCCCTCTACGACATATGCTTCAGAACACTGAAGTTAACTACTCCCACCTACGGTGATCTGAACCATTTAGTGTCGGCCACCATGAGCGGTGTCACCACCTGCCTGCGGTTCCCAGGCCAGCTTAATGCCGACCTGCGGAAGCTGGCGGTCAACATGGTTCCCTTCCCCCGTTTGCACTTTTTCATGCCTGGTTTTGCCCCGCTGACGAGCCGTGGCAGCCAGCAGTACCGTGCTTTAACCGTGCCAGAGCTAACGCAGCAGATGTTCGATGCAAAGAACATGATGGCAGCCTGTGACCCGCGTCACGGCCGCTATCTGACCGTAGCTGCCGTTTTTAGGGGCCGTATGTCGATGAAAGAGGTCGATGAGCAAATGCTCAACGTTCAGAACAAAAATAGCAGCTATTTTGTTGAGTGGATCCCTAATAACGTTAAAACAGCGGTCTGTGACATTCCACCTCGTGGCCTGAAAATGTCCGCCACCTTCATTGGTAACAGCACGGCCATCCAGGAGCTGTTCAAACGCATTTCTGAGCAGTTCACGGCCATGTTCCGCCGAAAGGCGTTCCTGCACTGGTACACGGGCGAGGGCATGGACGAGATGGAGTTCACAGAGGCTGAGAGCAACATGAACGACCTGGTCTCTGAGTATCAGCAGTACCAGGATGCTACAGCTGAGGAGGAAGGGGAGTTTGAGGAGGAGGCTGAGGAGGAGGCAGAATAAAAGCTACGCAGATGAACACCTGTAAATTTTGTTTAAAGCTGTATGAACTCTTTCATTCGATTCTCCTCTGTCTGTGTTGTGTTCCTCTTCCTGTCTCAAAGTCACTTCAGATGCTGTACAGGCACCATTAAAGCATTTTTCACAGTGCACGAGCTCGTCTCTTTTGTTGCTTTTGGTAAACTTTGCGGGTGCCGTTTCCGTAGGTGAGGGCGTAGGTGTGGCGGAGGTCTGGAAAAGGAGAAGGGGGACATGGTGGCAGCTCTGTCACCTTCCCCGAGGCTTCCCTCCAACGGGGTGGGGGGACAGCTCGCTGGGATGTGGTGGCCAGGAACTGAAGAAGCTGGTTGGGTTTCTAGTGACAAGTCCTGGTGGAGGGGACACTCCATGGGGGGGTGGAATCCAACTCCGAGCTGCATCTAAATTTAGGTCCCTGCCTGTGGCCTCCTGTCAGGGAGCTGGCTCTGGGGGGGGACATGGGGGTGTCTAAGCCACGGTGCGCCCCAGTGGGGAGCAGGGAAGGTGCCTCCCGTGGAGGGGGGTGTTTCTGGCAGAAGATGAGCCCGACTGACCACGGCACCGTGGCCTGTCACGGGAGCCTTGGGGACAGCTGTGAGGAGCTGCTGCCCAGGATGAGGGACAGCGAGGAGCTCGGGTGTGTGCAGCCTGGCTGGAGCCACCTTTTAAAATGGGTATGGACAGGTTTTAAAATGAAAATCAGGTGTTACTGCAGCGGCTCTGCTTTGATGCGAGCTGAACACCTGATGCCAAATCACACACTCGTTTCATTAAAACCCCCCATTAACAAAGCACATTTTTACTGTGGGACCAGTTAATACCCTCAGTGTTACCCGAGTGACAAACCTGTCACTGAGGAGACAGGAGGAAGCTTCCTCCTGAAGAACCTCTTCAGTGTTTTTCATTGTAACTGATTTGGGGTTCATTTTTCTCTATCTTAAAAATTAATTTTCTCCTTCCAGAGGGGTCTGGTTGGAGCGGTTGAGACTGCGTTGACTGGTGGCTCCTGGGTTGGGGGGAAATCTGTCTATGGGGTGAGGTGGTGGCTTTCAGACCGAGCAGGGGACATTGCAGCCTTGTGGAGTGTGGCCACAGAGGAGCTGGACCTTGCCGCGGGCCACCTCAAGCTGCCGGGCCAAGGACGGGGACAGCAGCCACTGCACTTGCCCCCTGCCCCGGCGTGGGGTGACAGAGGCCCAGAGACCCCATTTCTCTCCCTCTTTGAGCAGAAGACCTGCCCAGCCTCACCTTCCCATCAGCGTGAGATGCTTCCACCCTATTCCCTGAGAATGGAGCTCCTGCTGATGGGTTGTGTGTTAAAAATGGCTTTTCCTGCAGGGCTCTCCCAAGCCCCAGGACACGTCTTGCTGGAGCCACACTCGGGCTGAACAGACTTACTCTTGGCCACTGTCCATCCCCAGGGATGGTCACCTCCCCACGCTCAGCTTGCAGTTCTGCCCCATTTTGTGTCTCCTACCATTTCCCTCCTCTATCACATTAACTGCAAGTGGAGTTTGGTTCTTTCCAGCTCATCTCCTCGCCTTCCCAGCCCACCTTATGGAGCACAGGGCTTCACTGGGGCCAAAGACACTGATATTAACTGCAAGTGGAGTTTGGTTCTTTCCAACTCATCTCCTTGCTTTCCCACCCCACGTTATGGAGCACTGGGCTTCACTGGGGCCAAAGACACCGATATTAATTGCTGATTTGTTGACATTTTACCCCAACACCTTCGTGCTCTGCTCGGGCAGAGCTTCCCCTTAAGAGACAACAAAAGGACTTTCTTCAGACCTCTCTGTGTCAGTGTCACAGGTGCCTGACAGGGAGCAGACAGACACTGCGGGGCTGTCACCGCCTCTCTGGATGGCTGATACCATTACACTGCATTTTTGGGTGCTTTCCCAACCCTTTGTATCATTTACCTTTTGCTTTTTATCAGCCTTTTTAGACCAGAATCGTGCTGGAAGAGGGGCTCTCCTGGGGCAGGGCAGGGGGTGGCCCAGCTCCAGCCCCTCTGGGAGAAAAAGAAAATAAAATAATCTCCTACCCACGTGGCTCATTTCCGTAACTGCTCACTGCTAACAGCGCTGCTTAATGACAGTAATTAGTATTAGTGCCTCTCGTTTTCACTCGGCTGATGGACTCACCTGGGACGAAGCCCGTGTAGGAAGGGATCAGCCCAGCGCTGGTGTAAATCCTGTAGTTAGGCCAGTACGTTTGGGGAAGTCTCTTGCCAAAGCTGCAAACTGGGTTTCTCTGCAAAAACTGGAAAACAGACAAAAAGACACACACATACCCCCCCAAAGTAGGGTTAATTTTAAACCATTTTGTTGTTACCCAACTCTCGTGCTGTGACTTTGCAGCAAAGGAAATATTAAAGCCAACGTAAAGCAATTCTCTTTCCAGTTCTGTTTTCTTCTAATTAGGAACTACCTAACATCTTCCCTTTTCCCACTTGGAAAGCTTTTCTCCCCAGGCTGCTGGTGGCAACCTCTGCGAGCTCCGACCCCGGGGGCACAGAGCAGCTCCTGGCCTGGCATCATCCTTGGGATCTCCACAGCCTGGACTGAATTATCCCCTCTGGCCATCAGCCACAAGCACCTTGTGATGCACCATGAACGTTGTGTTTGATGCACCATGAGCATCGTGTTTGATGCACCATGAGCCACCAGCCTCTGCCGGAGCTGGCTCCATGCCTCAGACCCACCAAGGGTTTGGTTTGACTCCTCCAACTGGTTCTGTTTCTCCACAAGTCCCCCCCCCCCAGGGGTGATTAGCCAGTAATTCCCCCGGCGGGGAGGAAGAGGAAGGCTTAGGGAGCGTTAACTGAAGGGAGAGTGTAAATCTTCTCCCGGGTCTGTCCCTGCCCTCCCGGGGTCAGACCCAGCCACGGGGCTGTGCTGGAGGATGGAGGTTCCACCTCTCCCCTTCTCTGCAGCGACAAAACCCATCCAAGCTCTCGCTGACTCTGCGCCGCCCTGCCCTGCTGGGGAGGGTGGGGGGTTCCTGGAGCCCAGCAAACGTGGGGACCATCGTGTGGGGTCACCGCGGTCCCCACGCGCGGCGCTGAAGCGAGAGGATGGTGTTATTTTGCCTGATGCAGACAGTAAGCAATGAGCCGTGGCACATCCCGGTAGGTAACCTAGGGCAACAGAGATTTAGGGCAGAAGATTAGTGGCCCTCCAGTCAGAAGCCATCTTAGGCAGAAATACGGTGTGATTTTATGGGTTTTTTTTTTCCTCTCTTTAGCTTCTCTTCCTTCGATGCCTGATGCCGCAGCCACCCTCTGCCAGCCCAGCTTCTGCTGGATCCTGCCGTGGAGAAACACCTCCCTCCCTGATTTACTGCACGGCAGACGGTTCTTCAGGCGTCAGGGGCAGAAAGGCTTTGCAAACAGCATGTTTATGTTTGATAAAGCCTGGGTTGTTTGGTGGTTTTTTTGTTTGCTGTATTTCGATTCCTATTAACGGCAGCAGGAAAGGATGAGAACCCCACACAGGGAAATGCATTTCACCCCAGCATCAGGCTGCCATCAGCACCCTCAGCTCAGCTGCTCTCCCGCTGAGTCATCCCTTCCCAGCTGAGTCCCTCCGAGCCTGGGAATCCTCAATCTTGGCCTTTTTCTCTACATCTCTACATCAGACCCGTTCGCTCCGGGATGAAGGCACCGCAGCGATATCCCGGTGAACCAGAAAGGGCCGGGAATGTTGTACCCCTGATTTCATGGAGGTGCTGGACCAGCGAGGAGGCTGCGTCCCAGGGAGCCCACCCCATCCCAGCAGCCAGAGGAAACGTGTAGCTTTGAATGCAAAACATCAACTGCTGTGGGAGGGACCTCATTTTCCCGTGTAGGAGGATTATACGGCATTATAAGGGGGTGGATCTTACAAGCAAGGGGATGAAATTTTTTTTTTTTTCAGTAGGGATATTTCTGCATCCTCCCCAAAAGGAAGAGAAAGAAGATCTAGAACGCTTTAAGACAAATTATGTTAGTAAAGGAAAAGGCCTTACAACCAGTTAAAAGGCAGAAATAGCCACCCGAGCAGCCCAGGGAGCCACCCAGCCCTGCCATCCAGGTGGAGAAGGCACATTGCAGAAGGGATGCACAGAGTTGCACCCTGTCTTTCTGCACTCAGAGCAACATTTTTTAATAGCCACCCTTGAACCAACCCTCAATAGATTTGCTTAATCCTTTTATGAACTCATTTATCCTCCCTTAATGTCCCAAGGAAACAAGTTACAGAATTTAATTGCTCATGGTTTTTTCAACGTGTTACCTAATAGCATTTTACTTTGCTTGTACTTATAACCCCGGCTCTAACGCGGCTGCACTAAATGGAACCGCTTCTGGTGGTGTGGAAGAATCGATACCAACATTATAGTCTTGAAATCAGACTTGTGGATAAAATCTACCTGGTGTTGTCCAAATTCGTCCATGGCGTCCTTCACCCCCTGGATGTACCTCACGCCATAAATCCAGGTGAAGCGGGGGATGAACCCAGTGTACCCTTCGGATGAAGACAAGAGAGAACAGACATATCGTATAAGGATCAACCAGTCTGGAAGTGGGAGAGGCTGGGATAAATATAAAACCTTGGCAGAGTATAGGAAGGAAAAAATCATCCATTTAAGTTGTAAAATTAACTCTTACATGTGAAGTATCTTTTCTGAAAGAGTCATTTTTTTATGATTCCCAAGGGAAACACAACGGGGCTGAACTGATCTGTGTTGGTTTCCCTGAGGTTTGGAAGAAACATTTCATTTTCATATAGTCTTTTCTTTACACCAACAGCTCTGTTCTCTCCCAGTTCAATACACAGCCAGGGGCAAACAACTGGGTGTCTCACCTTCCTTCCTCACTTGCCCTGCCCAGCCAGCAAATTTCCACCCTTTTTAAGACAGAAACTATATAAAGTCTAAAACTAGATAAAACGAGGAGAGGTACAACCAAAAAGCAGCCAGCACTCCATCTTTCCAAAGCCATGCTTTGGAAGGGGGGAAATTTGTCCTCTGCATCCTAAAACATTGATGCTCTTCCATTCCACCTAAAACACTTGCTCCTGCAGCCCCTGTGGTCTCTGCGGAGCGAGGGCTCGTATCCCTCAGGGGAAGATCCAAGGTGGTGACAGCATCCCAAAGAAACAACCCTGGCATAGAGAGGAGCAGGGACAGTTTTCCATCCCAAAGTGTTCAAACGAGCTGGAGCAACTGGCCAATGTCCTTGAGATTTGCCCAGGGGACAGGGGATGAGATGATTTCTTCTCAGGTGGATTCGTGCTGCACATGACCTCCCTCTCTTTTACCTGGGATGACTTTCTCTTGGATCACTCTTGGTATGTCCAGTCTTGGTAACCGATAGTCCTGCTCTGCGGTGTCAGCCACTCCTGGCAGAGTCATACCTTCAAACTTTACAGGTTCAAAATAAAAGCAGAAATAAAATGAGCACCAGTAAAACCTGCTTCCTCCCTTGGCTCCATTGCTTAAATCACCGCCAGAGCCCAGGAATGGCAATGGCCATTTCTGTTTCTTCCTTGCTTGACACTCAGAGCTACTCCAAGAATTTCTGGTAAAGTCAAATTACCAGATGAGCTCTCCATACGCAGAGGTTTTGCAAAATCCCTGGGGAGAACAAGGGGCTCTGAGCTCCTTCACAAATCCGTTTCTCAGAGCAAGGAGTGGGAATGCCCCTCCTTGGAACTTATATCCGAGCCAGCTTTTGACTTGATACGTCAAATCTCTAATCTCTGCCTTCAGGGGATTTGCAGAGCCCCGGCTGGCTCTGACCTGACAAATGCTGCCTCCGGCTCCAGAAGAAATAAGGGGCTCAAACACGATGGTCCCGGGTGACACCGGCTGCGCCGTGCAAAGCAGCACCCAGCTCCGCTGGCAAATCCCAGTGCTTGGGTTGGAACGAGGGATAACGATGGTGGGAAAGGTGGGAGGGAGCAGTTCAGGGGTCAGAATCCCAGCACGTAACCAAAGGTGCCAGGAGGCTGCTCTTTTCAGGAAGAGGAGAAGGAGGAGGGCTCCAGGTTCACCCAAAGGAAACACCAGCCTGGCTGTGTAGCACAGCAAAACACAAGATCTAATGACTGGGATTTGAAGCTAAAACTCAACCAAATGAGAAGTTACGCCTTTTTGATTAGGAAACTAATGATTATAACAATTTCCTGAAGATGTGGTGGATTTGCTGCTGCTAGAGATGCTTGTGTGCTTGATATTTCTCTACACAACACTCTAAACTGTCCATCCTTGCCACCCACACCCATATGAAATTCCCTCTTCACACCCCTGGACCAAGGAGATATCTTCCATGCCCACCAGTCCCCATCCCTCCACCGTAGCATCCCTTATCACGCCTCTTTTCCACCCAAAACCACGTACCTGTTTGCTCCCTTCCAGGGCTCTGCACCTTCTGGCTGGGGTTATCTCAGGCAGTTGCCACTCTTGCCCCTCAGACACGGGCTGGCACGGAACCCTCCGTGGGTACCCCCGAGGCAGTCGTGTCCACGGGACGTACTCGCCAGGGTGGTCCTGGGGCTGAGGGTCCATGTGCATCCTTATCATCTCTGCCTCTTCCAGCCCTGGCACCGCCGGGAGAGGTTTTGGCTCAATGACCGGGTCGGGAAGGCTTGCTGCAGCCTCAGCTTGCACATAGGGAAAATATCCTGTGGGACAGAGACTGAGTTATGGGAAAGAAGTGGCTGAATGAAGATGAAGGATTCCCATCGTGCTGGACCTCGCCCCTTTTGTGCTCCTCTAAAGGGAAGGGAAGGAGCCTGGAGGTCAGCAGCATCCCTCGGGCTGTGAGTCCCTTCTGCCATCAGCCCCATCCCATAAACCAGCCTGCACAGAAAATCTGCCCAAATATAAGTTCAGTAACTGAAATTTTTTTCAAAGCAATGCCTAAACTGTAAAATACCATCAGCCAAGCTCTAAAGATTAAGGGGAAAACCCCCACCCCATTATCCTTTTCTCCGTGTGGCTGCATCAGGACACCCCAAACACAGACACCACGTCCCCCCACACCCAACAAGGGGTTCGGGCACTGGCTTCACTGCTGCTCGTCGAGGAAAGGCTCTGCTGTGAGGATGGCTGGAAAAACAATTATCTTACATCCAGGGGATGCTAAATATCTCCACTGTGACCGAGGGACAGAGTCCTGTGCCTTGGGACTCCACAGGGACAGCCCAGCTTGGCAGCTTTCTCCTGACTTTCCCTTAAAACCACCCCGTGACGTGGCTCCTGGCCCCACGTGACACCTCCTGCCCCAAGCCAGGAGTAGAACCAACCTCTCCCTCCTCAATGGGTACAGAGAGTGACCACTCTCACACCCCACAACAACCTTCTCCTTATTGGAAAACTGGTTTTAGATCACTCATCTTTTTTTCAACAAACCAAATTCCTTCCATTTTTGCCCTCCTAGGTCATATTTTTTCCAGCCCTCTGGTCATTACTGTCCCCCCAACCCCCTCGTGTTCCACAGGCATCTGGATCCCCAGCACAAAGCCCCAGGGACGAGACACCATCTTCCAGCCAAGGCTTCATCTCCAGAGAGTCCCAGGGACCTACAGCCTGTCCCTGCTCAAACAGCACGGAGCAAGACCTGCCCCTCTCTGCAGGAGTGTAACACTTCTGATGGGCACCAAGGTTTGCAATCTATTTATGTTTAGATTATAAAGTACATATTTACTGTTTAGACCTTTGTAAAGTATATATACTCTATGCAACTGAATTATCAATCAAATCCTCGATGAAACTGATTTTCCGATACAGTGTGCAAATTTCAATGCAGCTTTGTCTGAATATTTCCTTCATTATTAATGAAAATATCGCATCTACTCTTTTCTTTTTCATCCCACAAACCAAAGGAAAAGGAAAAAATGACATTCTACACTTGAGAAATCCATATAAGCTCTTATTTATGACCCTGAGTTTTGCAAACTTATTGATTCAGAAGGGTTGCACAGTGAGGCACTAAATTAAAAGCCAGGAGAGCACCGTGCATTTGATTTGAGTAAATAGCTGTATGTTTTCAGCCCAGTTCCCGGGGAGCAGGTGCCTGCACGCTTGGCCTGTGCCATAACCCCCCTCCATGCCACCGCCCCTGGACATCCAGCATAACCCTGGTTGACATCCCCAACCAACTGAGCCTGACCTCACTTCCAGGAGAAACACAATCATAGAATCATAGAATGGTTTGGGTTGGAAGAGACCTCAAAGATCATTGAGTTCCAACCCCCCTGCCATGGGCAGGGACACCTCCCACTAGAGCAGGTCGCTCAAGGCCCCAGCATGGGATTCAACTGATGGAAAACAGAGATGTACTTGGTGCCCATCAACAAGCCTGTATCCAAAATAGACCTGGGGAAAGAGTCTTCAGACTGAGTTTGCTGAAGGCAACCACCCAGATCCAACTCTCCCTTGAGCTCCTTGATCTCCATCATTTAGAACACCCAGAAGGATGCCAGGCAGTAACCAATGGATTTTGCAGTGAAGGGTTTGAGGGCTCGCTCACTGGCAGCAGGAACTGTTGATGAGGAGTTACCAGCACAGCAAGGTGCTGCTCCCTGTGGCCACGTTCTTCGGCATTTCACCAACAAGCAGCAAATGGGAGCTTCCAGCTCCAAACATTGGCAGATGATGTAAATGTTGTCAAGAAGAAAGCAAGAATGAGGACAGGATAATGAGAGAGAGCACAACCAGGTCAACTGGTTGGTTGGGCCCATCCAAACTACATTTTAGTCCAAGGAAATGCAAATTTAAATATCCAGGAACGAAGCCTGTAAGTGCCACCTGCGCGGTGGAGACCTGGATGCTGGAACAAAGGGCTAGAAGGAACAGAAGGGCCAAAAGTTTGCAAGAAGCTACACAGCCCGATTTCCCAGTGTGAAATGGGAAAACACTGCTTCAGTGTGGCCATCCCCAGGGAAATGAAGACCCAGATCCCACCTGGGCAGGTAACCTCTATGTTCAACCAGGAGAGGACTCGCCCCCGCTGAACAGGGAGTCCTCAACAGCTTCGTCTCAGACACGTGGTGTGGTCTGTGGCAACTGAGTCTCCAAAGGAGGTGACCCCAAGAGGGGCTGACATGGGGTCCTGGTGTGGCTGCTCCTCAGGCCTGATTTGGGTCTGCTCAACAAGGACCAGGCACTTTTCCCAGAAGGGCTGGGACTCGGTAGGAGATTCCTGCAAATTCCCAGTGCTGGGAATCTACAGGACCAGGGCCATGCCAGTGCCTGATGGAGGAGATGGGGCCCATTAGCAGGTCAGGACACCCCAAACACAGACACCACGTCCCCCCACACCCAACAAGGGGTTCGGGCACTGGCTTCACTGCTGCTCGTCGAGGAAAGGCTCTGCTGTGAGGATGGCTGGAAAAACAATTATCTTACATCCAGGGGATGCTAAATATCTCCACTGTGACCGAGGGACAGAGTCCTGTGCCTTGGGACTCCACAGGGACAGCCCAGCTTGGCAGCTTTCTCCTGACTTTCCCTTAAAACCACCCCGTGACGTGGCTCCCGGCCCCACGTGACACCTCCTGCCCCAAGCCAGGAGTAGAACCAACCTCTCCCTCCTCAATGGGTACAGAGAGTGACCACTCTCACACCCCACAACAACCTTCTCCTTATTGGAAAACTGGTTTTAGATCACTCATCTTTTTTTCAACAAACCAAATTCCTTCCATTTTTGCCCTCCTAGGTCATATTTTTTCCAGCCCTCTGGTCATTACTGTCCCCCCAACCCCCTCGTGTTCCACAGGCATCTGGATCCCCAGCACAAAGCCCCAGGGACGAGACACCATCTTCCAGCCAAGGCTTCATCTCCAGAGAGTCCCAGGGACCTACAGCCTGTCCCTGCTCAAACAGCACGGAGCAAGACCTGCCCCTCTCTGCAGGAGTGTAACACTTCTGATGGGCACCAAGGTTTGCAATCTATTTATGTTTAGATTATAAAGTACATATTTACTGTTTAGACCTTTGTAAAGTATATATACTCTATGCAACTGAATTATCAATCAAATCCTTGATGAAACTGATTTTCCGATACAGTGTGCAAATTTTAATGCAGCTTTGTCTGAATATTTCCTTCATTATTAATGAAAATATCGCATCTACTCTTTTCTTTTTCATCCCACAAACCAAAGGAAAAGGAAAAAATGACATTCTACACTTGAGAAATCCATATAAGCTCTTATTTATGACCCTGAGTTTTGCAAACTTATTGATTCAGAAGGGTTGCACAGTGAGGCACTAAATTAAAAGCCAGGAGAGCACCGTGCGTTTGATTTGAGTGAATAGCTGTATGTTTTCAGCCCAGTTCCCGGGGAGCAGGTGCCTGCACGCTTGGCCTGTGCCATAACCCCCCTCCATGCCACCGCCCCTGGACATCCAGCATAACCCTGGTTGACATCCCCAACCAACTGAGCCTGACCTCACTTCCAGGAGAAACACAATCATAGAATCATAGAATGGTTTGGGTTGGAAGAGACCTCAAAGATCATTGAGTTCCAACCCCCCTGCCATGGGCAGGGACACCTCCCACTAGAGCAGGTCGCTCAAGGCCCCAGCATGGGATTCAACTGATGGAAAACAGAGATGTACTTGGTGCCCATCAACAAGCCTGTATCCAAAATAGACCTGGGGAAAGAGTCTTCAGACTGAGTTTGCTGAAGGCAACCGCCCAGATCCAACTCTCCCTTGAGCTCCTTGATCTCCATCATTTAGAACACCCAGAAGGATGCCAGGCAGTAACCAATGGATTTTGCAGTGAAGGGTTTGAGGGCTCGCTCACTGGCAGCAGGAACTGTTGATGAGGAGTTACCAGCACAGCAAGGTGCTGCTCCCTGTGGCCACGTTCTTCGGCATTTCACCAACAAGCAGCAAATGGGAGCTTCCAGCTCCAAACATTGGCAGATGATGTAAATGTTGTCAAGAAGAAAGCAAGAATGAGGACAGGATAATGAGAGAGAGCACAACCAGGTCAACTGGTTGGTTGGGCCCATCCAAACTACATTTTAGTCCAAGGAAATGCAAATTTAAATATCCAGGAACGAAGCCTGTAAATGCCACCTGCGTGGTGGAGACCTGGATGCTGGAACAAAGAGCTGGGAGAAACAGAAGGGCCAAAAGTTTGCAAGAAGCTACACAGCCCGAATTCCCAGCGTGAAATGGGAAAACACTGCTTCAGTGTGGCCATCCCCAGGGAAATGAAGACCCAGATCCCACCTGGGCAGGTAACCTCTGTGTTCAACTGGGAGAGGACTCGCCCCCGCTGAGCAGGGAGTCCTCAACAGCTTTAAATTTAAATATCCAGGAACGAAGCCTGTAAGTGCCACCTGCGCGGTGGAGACCTGGATGCTGGAACAAAGGGCTAGAAGGAACAGAAGGGCCAAAAGTTTGCAAGAAGCTACACAGCCCGATTTCCCAGTGTGAAATGGGAAAACACTGCTTCAGTGTGGCCATCCCCAGGGAAATGAAGACCCAGATCCCACCTGGGCAGGTAACCTCTATGTTCAACCAGGAGAGGACTCGCCCCCGCTGAACAGGGAGTCCTCAACAGCTTCGTCTCAGACACGTGGTGTGGTCTGTGGCAACTGAGTCTCCAAAGTAGTCCAAGGAAATGCAAATTTAAATATCCAGGAACGAAGCCTGTAAATGCCACCTGCGTGGTGGAGACCTGGATGCTGGAACAAAGAGCTGGGAGAAACAGAAGGGCCAAAAGTTTGCAAGAAGCTACACAGCCCGAATTCCCAGCGTGAAATGGGAAAACACTGCTTCAGTGTGGCCATCCCCAGGGAAATGAAGACCCAGATCCCACCTGGGCAGGTAACCTCTGTGTTCAACTGGGAGAGGACTCGCCCCCGCTGAGCAGGGAGTCCTCAACAGCTTTGTCTCAGACACGTGGTGTGGTCTGTGGCAACTGAGTCTCCAAAGGAGGTGACCCCAAGAGGGGCTGACATGGGATCCTGGTGTGGCCTGATTTGGGTCTGCTCAACAAGGACCAGGCACTTTTCCCAGAAGGGCTGGGACTCGGTAGGAGATTCCTGCAAATTCCCAGTGCTGGGAATCTACAGGACCAGGGCCATGCCAGTGCCTGATGGAGGAGATGGGGCCCATTAGCAGGAGTGGGGAAGGTGGGAAGGGCACAGGAGCCCTTCTGCCGAGCTGAGGTAGGAGCAGCAAGACCTGAAATGAACCACAAGCTGCGAGTTAAAGCTCTGAGCACAAGGAGCCATAGACCAGGTGGGTCCACAGAGAAAGAGTCAGAGGGGTCAGAGCTGACCTTCCCCAGAGAATCGGATATTAGCCTGTGGAATTGTGCTGGTTTTTGATGGGATAGAGTTGATTCTCTTTGTAGTAGCTTGCACAGGGCCATGGTTTGGGTTTGTGCTGAAAATAGTGTTGATACCCCAGGGCTGGTTCAGTTACTGCTGAGCAGCCCTTACACAGCACTGAGGACTTCTCATCCCTTCACATCGCCCCAACAGGGAGTGCCAGGGGTGCACAAAACATCGGGGGGGGACACAGCTGGGACAGCAGCCCCCAAAGGGATATTCCAGACCATACAGTGTCCTTCTTGGCAATAAAACCGGGGGGGAGGCTGGTGGGGGCAGGGGGGGCACTGCCCAGGGACTGGCTGGGCATTGGTTGGTTGGTGGTGAGCAACGGTTTTCATTGGCATCACTTGCCTTTCCTGGGTTTTATTTATCTCTTTTTGTTGTGTTTCTTTTCATTACAACTATTAATTACTATTCTTATGAATAATATTATTATAATATTTCAATTATTAAACTGTCTTTATCTCAACCCATGAGTTTTCTCACTTTTACCCTTCCAATTCTCCCCCCCGATCCCACTGGGGAGAGCTGAGAGCGCGGCTGTGTGGTGCCAGGAGCCAGCCGTGATGAACCACAACAGGAACATGGAGGAATACATAACGTGCCATAAAATCACTTATTTTCATTTAACTGAAGATAACCTGGGAACTAAAACTCAGTATGAGAGGCCCCGTGCCCATCAGGTGAGGCGGGCACTCCAGCTCCCCACCAGTGCCATTCTCCAGTTGTCCCTGCTCCTACTCCAGAGCTATGGTCACTCCATGGAGAACATCCCATTTCACCCCAGGAGCCCATTGAGGACAGGCACATCCTCCACTGCCCCTAATTGACCCCATGCTCGTTAGCAGAGCTTGTTCTGGCAAAGGGACAAGACCCCGGGGTCTGCTCACCTGGACGCCCAGGGAGATAAGCCTGGACACCGTGCTTGGTCTCGCTGAAGTCCTCCATGAATTTCTGCTTGTGCAGCGGCGCCAGCACCGACCGAGGGCTCTTCCTGACCCCGGGGTCCGTCAGCAGCCGGTAGGTGGTTTTGCCATAGGTCTCCCCAAACTGATAGTTGAACTGAGGGACGTAGCCCTCGTAGCTGAGGAGGAAACCAGAACAGAGCAGTCACTGAGGGGGCACTGGAAGGTGTCCACTGGGAGGCTACAACCTGCTGCAGAGCTTTGGTACTGGGCTCACAAACCCACCCAGACCCCGCATCCCACGGGAGAGACAGGGGCACAGGTGGGTGCTCGGTCCCAGTAACAGACATCACTTGATTTTTGGGGGCCCTTCACATGGGGTGCGTAGGGACACGCTGCTTCTCCATTCCCCCCCATCCCAGGAGGGGCAGTTTGACTCTTTGGTGGCTCAGGGCAGGTGCTGGAGCTCTGGCTGTCCTCCCGAGTCCACCAGCACAGACCAGAAATTTCAGCTATTCCCAGTATTAAATTTCCTAGTGGTGATGTTATCCCAGCCCCGAAGAAGAAAGGCAGAGCTGCCAGCTACGATGTACAGACAGAAATATTCAATCAATGATCCCACCGCGTATCTGGGGATAAAGCCGGATGATGCAGGAGGATCATAAGATGATGAGTAAGTACTTTCCCTTCCAAATTCTTTAAACAGCAGCGAGCAGAGCCGTGCATTTGCACTTGGCAAGTTCTCTGCCTGCAGGATCTCTCACCCGCAGCCGCCGGAGGAGCCCGGTGCCTCGGCCCCATTGATTTGTCAATGAGTCTTGCAACACGGGGGGAGCTACTCCGGGACGATAGAGCTGAGCAAGAGCACTAATGACCCAGCCCGAATAATTACAGGATGGCCAGAGGGATTTTGATCATGAGCAAAAATAATGATAGGGCTGAGAAAGGATTCCCTTCAGAAGCAATGAAATCGAGGTAATCCCAGGAGCTGGGGCGAGTCAGCCCGGGTTTATGGAGAAGGGATCTGCCGCAGAGGGAGTTACAAGTGCTGCTGGTGAAAAGCCCTGGCGCCTGGGGAAGGGACTGGTCTCGGTGGGGCTGTTTGACCTTCTCCTGCTCGGTGTTCTGATTGAGAAACCAGAGAGATTCCTGTAGTTGATGCTGCAGCCGCTGCTCTCCAGCCTCCCTGCCAGCGGTGAGTAACCGGCTTTCCCAGGGCTGAGCCCCATTTCACTTTTCTCTTACTCAGCCCTATCTCTCTCTTCCATCACCACTCCCCAGGCTGTCACCTAAACCTGCTCAGCCTTCCTCATCATCGCCAGCAAAAGCCTTGGCCCTGGGCCCATCCTCACTCAGCTCCATGCCCTCCCTTCCCAGCTCCAAGCTGGAATGGGGCTGGGAGGGCTGTGCCCAGGATTCATGGATTTACCCCTTCTCTGCCCACCAAGTCCTGCCCAAACCATCCATTGAATCATAGAATGGTTTGGGTTGGAAGAGACCTTAAAGACCATCCAGTTCCGCCCCCTGCCCTGGGCAGGGACACCTCCCGCCAGACCAGGTCCCTCCAAGCTCCCTCCAACCTGGCCTTGAACCCCTCCAGGGATGGGGCAGCCACAGCTTCTCTGGGCAACCTGGGCCAGGCTCTCACCACCCTCAAACCAAAGAAGTTCTTCCCCACATCTCATCTCAATCTCCCCTCTTTCAGTTTGAAGTCCTATGAAGGATTTTGAAGTCCTCTTTCAGTTGAAGTCCCTCCTCCTATCACTACATGCCCTTGTAAAAAGTCCCTCCCCATCTCTCCTGGAGCCCCTTTAGGGACTGGAAGGGGCTCTAAGGTCTCCCCGGAGCCTTCTCTTCTCCAGGCTGAACCCCCCAACTCTCTCAGCCTGTCCTCCCAGCAGAGGGGCTCCAGCCCTCCCAGCATCTCTGTGGCCTCCTCTGGCCCCGCTCCAACAGCTCCATGTCCTTCTGCTGTTGGTGGCCTCAGAGCTGGAGGCAGCACTGGGGGGTGTCTCCCCAGAGCGGAGCAGAGGGGCAGAATCCCTTCCCTCCACCCCACACGGGTTTGGTTTCCCAACGCTCTTGAGCTCTGCGGTGGCATTTCCAAAGCCCTGACCATTGCCCGGGTGACAGCAACCAGTTCCGATGTCCTCGCTGTGTCTGTGGGTTCACTGGCACAGCTGGGGACGGGACATGGGACAGTGGGTGAGATGCTGCGATGCGGCATCTTCCTCCTCCTCCTCCTCCTGCAGCACCGCAGCTGAGGGCGCAGCGTCTGCCGGCAGCAGAGCCGGGGCTGCGGCGATGCCCTTCAGGCAGCTCCTCCTTGTGCTCAACCACCCGAACCAGATGCAAAGCAGCACCTCCACCACCCTGGGGGGGGTTCCTCTGGGGCTTGGGGTGATGCTACGAGCCTGCACCGCCCTGCAAAACGCTGGAGCAGAACCTGGTTCCTCCTCCTCCTGCCTTCAGTGGCCAAAGCACCAGCACGGAGAGGAGCAGCCCCGGTATCAGGGCTCCAAGCTGGTTCTGGGGGGGCTCTCTGCAGGCAGGAGCGAGCCAGGGAAGGTTTGGAGGCTTTTGGAGGTTCCAACCCAGCCTCCTTGCTGTTCCTCATCTCTCCTAAGCCACTGCCAGCGCAGAGCTTTGACAGGGTGACAGCAGGCAGGGAGTAACACGTCCCATCGCTCCGACAGCCGCAGCAGCGTAAAAACGTGTTAAAAACCCCCAACCTCAGAGCTTATGTAAGTTTGGAAGATACGGGGATCAGCAATGGAAAAATCCGTCACGCTGCTGTACTGGGAAGGACCGGTGTGATCGTTAGGGCAGGAGCATCGTTAGGGAACCCTGCTCCACCCTTCACCCGCGGCTGGGACCTGCCCCGACCTGCACCCCTGCCCGCCCTGGCTTTCCCTGCGCTGAGGTTTGGGGCCTGGTCTCGTCACCGTCCCCCTCTGCCCGGGGAGGTCCCCACACCCATTGGAGCCTGGCTCAGGCTGGATTTTGTACCAAGAGAAGTTTGGTTTCCCCTCGGTGGCCGTCCCAGCCCTCCCAGCCCCTTCCCCCGTGTCACAGACCATGTCTCCCAGCACAGGTCACCAGGGGAACCCACACCACTTCCCCACGAAGCCTCCCCACTTACTCCTGCCGTTTGTCTCTTATCTTTTCACCAGCAACTCATGTCCTCTCTCCAAGCCTTCAGAGGAGGATGTTGCAAAAGGCTTCGAAAAAACCCAACAACTACATATGACCAAGATCACCAGCACCCACAGTGTCACCAACTTCTTCCAAGAGGGGGTCCGGGGAGCAGGACCGGGCTCCAGCCGGTTTGAGGAGAGCACATCCAGTGTATGCAACTATTTATTCAAAGGAGACCCTCAAACCTCCTTGATGCAGAAGTTTAGGGCAGTTTGGGAGCCAAACCCTGCCCAGCCGCCCTGGTAACATCTGGCAGCTTAAAACAAATGAAAAAAAAAGAGGGGAAAAGTAGAACCATTGTGACTTTACCCTGGCGCAGCCTTTAATTATACCCTGTTACAAGGTGGTGCTGCTTCTCCTGGAGCCCTGTCTCCTTTGGAGAACTGTTATGTGGAATATTTAACAACACCCTAAACACCATGAATCATGAACACTACGTGATCCCAAGGCGAGGAGCTATTTGCATCGGAAACAAACAGGCATTTTGGACGAGGTTCCCAACTTACCCGGGGATATAGTAGGGATGGGGTGGGAAGATGCTGCTCTCCTTGGGGGGTTCCATGGCACTGAGGCTCCTCTGGCTGGTGGCCACGGGAGGAGGGAGCTGCAGTTGCCCGGGAAACCTTTGTGATGCTGCTGGAACCCGACAGCGTTTCCAGCTGCAGAACGCAGCCTCTCAGGTTTTTTCTGGGTGTGTCCTATTTTTATTTTTTTTTTCCCCCACCTGGAAATTTTGGATGAGCACAAAGATTTATCAGATCTCCTGAAGGCTCGTAGCCCTTGGGACACCAGGGCCAGATGTTCCCCTAAGCTGCCCCAGCACAAGTAGGTGTCCACGGCACAGCTCGTGTCCAGCACACGCCACTGGGGAGGGCCAGCCCCGTGTCACCCACACACACCAGCCCCTGTGGGCACCTTCCTGCCGAGGAAACCTCAGGGCAGAGGTTCTGGGACTCCCCACGCTGCGGTGGAAGGCTCAGCCCTCCTCTCCCTGCCCCTCGCTGCCCTCCCGGTCTGGCTGCTGGAGATGCAATCCCTGCCTTGCGACATGCAGAATGTCCTTCCAATTCCCAACACCATAGAGAACCATACAATTGCCCAGCTTGGAAGGGACCTTTCAGATCATCAAGTCTATCCATCAACCCAGCACTGCCCAAACCACCACTGACCCATGTCCCTCAGCACCACCCCTGCCCGGCTTTTAAATGCCTCCAGGGATGGCAACTCCACCACTGCCCTGGGCAGCCCGTTCCAAGGCTTGACAACCCTTTCAGTATAAAATTTTTCTTAATTTCCAATCTAAACCTCCCCTGGTGCAACTTGAAGCCTTTTTCCTCTTGTCCCATGGCCTGTTCCTTGGGAGAAGAGACCAACCCGCCCCTCTTTACACCCTCCTTTCAGGGAGTTGGAGAGAGTGAGAAGGTCTCCCCTCAGCCTCCTTTTCTCCAGGCTGAACACCCCCAGCTCCTTCAGCCTCTCCTCACAAGACTTGTGCTCCAGACCCCTCACCAGCTCCGTTGCCCTTCTCTGGACCCGCTCCAGCTCCTCAATATTTTTCCTGTGGTGAGGGGCCCACAACTGAACACAGCACTTGATGTGGAGCTTCACCAGTGCCCAGTCCAGGGGGATGGTCACTGCCCCAGTCCTGCTGGTCACACTGTTCCTGATACAGGCCAGGATGCTGTTGGCCTTCTCAGCCACCTGGGCACACTGCTGGCTCATGTTCAGCTGCTGTTGACCAACACCCAAGGTCCTTTTCCACGCGGCAGCTCCACCCACTCTGCCCCAAGCCTAGAGCATCCATGTGGTTGGTGTGACCCAAAGGCAGGACCTGGAACTTGGCCTTGTTGAACCTCACACCACTACGGTCATACTGTTTTGTGTGTGGTGGGTTTCACCCTCCTCCAGCTGAAGGCAAGCCCAGAACATGAGTCTCCCATTTACTGAACAGCCACGGTGGCCGGTATGTCCTCAAGTCAAAGACCAGCACTCCTGTTACCGTCAAGCAGCATTTCCACCACGTACACCACCAGCAGCCAGCCTGGTTCACTGCCAAAGTCCCTCCATGGCCATGAAGAGCTCAGGCACGTGGCCAGAAGAATCATTTTAAGGTTTCAGAGCTACTAACCAGAAATCATAGACTATTTGAGGGTTGTCCTCATCTGTTTAGGTGCCTGTACTCCACCCAAAATAAAGAGGAGATAAAAATATTGGTTTAACCCTTGGTGCCTCAACGTTTTGAGAGACCTGGAATTTCCATCCTTTATACAAGTATTTGATTTTGCCCAAATATCCAAGCTCTGATTGGGGCAGACCTCTCCAGCAACCCCAGGTCTGCAGTGGAAGGGTCTGTGAGGGGCACGATGGCTCTTCTCAGAGGCACGCGGTGGAAGACCAAGAGGTAACAGGCACAAGACGCACCAAGTGGAAGGCCCACTGGAGACAAGGAGAAAATTCTCCTCCTTGGGAGGAGCACAGCCCTGGGTCAGGGAAGGTGGTGGCACCTCCATCCTTGGAGATCTTCAAGGCCCAGATGGCCAAGGCCCAGAGCACCCCAATGGAGCCCACAAGTCAGCTCAGCTTCTAGTGGACAACTTGATATGAGACCTACAAACGTTCCTCCCAGCCTAGATCTGAGCTTAACAAAAAGATTAAAAAAAAATGCTTACTGAAAAGCAGCAACAGATTCATGGCACCAAGCAATGATCCCAGGCTGGTCCAGGTCCCACCAGCCCAAGGGAGCTCAGACCAGCATCTTCCCAGCATTTCCAGAAACTCCCTTCAAAGCTCACTCCTTTAAATGGCCAGTGGCTGCTCCTTCCAAACCTGGGGGGGTCACACACTTACCAAAGAGCTACTGAATAATCAGACCAAAACATCAATCCCTAGTGCAGACACCTGGGTAGGAAAAAAAAAAAAAAAGAAAAAAGTAGGAATTCACTTTTGTCAAGGTTATCGTTAGAATTTATTGATATGAGAGAAACTTTGTATGTCAAGGGAGGAACAGCACGTCCTGACATAACAGAAGGACAAAGGCCACCCAGGTGGTGTTACAGCGCTCGGACATCCCGAAGCACAGGAGATCACACACGTGGCTGTGTGTTACTGGGGTACATTTTCTGGGAGAGGATAAGAAATATCAACTCCAGAAAGGCAGCTGGTGCGTGGTTTTCCAGCCACCAGTGCCCCACAGGCTGCAGGGGCACCACGCTGGCTTTGCCCCCCATGGCCCAGCTCCAGACAGACGGCGCGCGTGTGCCACGGCAGCTCACCCCAGGCCCCTCTAGTCAAAGGAGAGAAAAATAATAATAATAATAATCTATTTAGGGGTGAGATTCACCTGAGCCCGTGTCGCCCTCGCTGGGAGATGAGATGACTTGGACCCTCCAGCTCCTCAGAGGACCAGCTCGGGTGGAGACACCTACCAGGCACCCGGTAAATCCGTAATGGATTTATTGTGGAAATGAGCTGAATTCTCTAACTTGCTCCAAATGGATTTCAGAGCCGTCTAAACACCCTCCAGAGACATCTCGTGCAGGCAGGGAAAGCCCAGGCCGGGTCTGCAGGACAGCAGGACAACCTGGGCACGGTCCTACCACGTGAGCTGCAACTGGGAAACTTCAGGAGGGGGTTTGCTCTGCCCGGGGAGCAGAGGCAGCCGTGCCACCCTCCATCCTGCCATCGGCCAACTCAGAAGCAGGTTTTTTCTTTCAACGTAAGAATTATCCTCGTTTTACAACCCTTTTGACATCCCCTCTCTCAGCAGTGCCCTTACAGAGCTCGTAGCACCGACAGCCGTTCACACGATGCTCGTGGCTAAGACAAAAATTATCTTTTTATCTTTACTGGAAATACATGCCACGCTAGATGCTGTTTAAAAAAAAAAAACAAAACCCTTTCATCTTCTCCCAGCTTAGGAAATATCTGGTTTGGTCCTAAGTATCTTGCTACACGATTAGAGAGGGAATAGCAGAGTATTCCCCAGGCACCTGGTAAATCCACAATGGATTTATTGTAGAAACCAGCTGAATTCTCTCACTCACTCCAAATGGATTTCAGAGCCCTCCAAAACCCTCCAGAGAATGAGCTGTTTGTGACAGGGCAAACAAAAAAACCAACCAAGCCCAAGTTCAATGAGTAAATTGTCTTGCGTGGTGCAGGGAGCATCCGAAATAAAACCCAAACCCAGGCTAAGGGGATGTGTCAGCCCCGTCCCCCGGCTGGACCCTGGGCTGAAGTGCTCTGCCTGGGTGACAGCACCGTCCCCACTGCAGACCCCAGGAGGAACCAGAAAAGTGTTAATCTGAGTGTGTGTGTGCACAGGAGTGTGCTGGGAACGGCCCGGTCTCCCCTCCTCTTCCTCTCACTGTGACAAGTGACGTGGTGGGTTCTGCTCCCCACCACTCGCTTTCACCAAAAACCCAAGTGCCCTCTGCACAGGTAACAGCATCCACTTCCAGATCTCATATTAATGGGTACTTATACAGGATTAATTGCACATCAGTCCATTGTGGCTACAAGTTCATTAGGCTAATAAATCTACATAGTGACAGTAGTACAGTATCAGCTACTTTTCAATACAGACTCCCTACCCTAGCCTTAATTTGTAGGCCAAAAGAAGATCTTCCACCGTAGTGACCTTCCTATGACCTTGAACATTCATTTTCAAAATTTTTTTTTTTTTTTCTAGAAAAAAAAAAATCCAGTGTGGGGAAAACGCACATATATAACAAAAGCAGTGCTTAACAACCACAGGAAAAAAAGAACATGATCTTGGACTCTTCTATCAGTGTCCTCTGTAGACCCTGGTAGCGTCACTTCCAAAGGGTTGCTAAATCCAGCTCCGTCAGTTCTCAGGTCCATCAAACCCTTCCCTCGCTCTCGGCGTTTCTCATCTCTCACTGTCTGTAGCAAGAGCACTCGGAAACACTCACTAATGTGCACAAGACTTCCATTTGATCTAATGGAATCGTTTCAGAAGGCTGAAGTCTTTACTTCTAGAAATCTGTTCTTGAGCGGCAGCGCTCCCACCGCTTTTCATTCCACCCAGGAGAGAGCTCCAAGTCCCTCAGTTTTCCTCGTTCGTTTTGCCCAAAGGTGTATGGGTATCTAATAAAACCCCTCTCACAGTATTCCCAGGAAAATGATTCAGAAGAGGAGGAGATGATTATTCTTTTTTTTTTTTTTTTTTTTTCCAACCAAATGAGATCCTCTGGTCCTGCGTGTCAGACCATGGCCAATAGAATGAGCAGCTGCCATGGACATCTCAACTTAAATACGGAACAGTCAAGGGAGGAGAGCAAGGTGGCCCCACCGCCTTCCGTGAGGTACAGGCAGAGACACCCAAAGTCACTCTGGTCTCAACAGTTTGTCTCTTTTTCCGGAGTCAAATGTTTGATTCCATTTGTTCCAGCAGGAAGTGGTGAATCATGTCAAAAGTGGGACGATCTTTTATATCCCTGCTCCAGCATTTCAGCATCAGGTCAAACACAGGGTTAGGACACAGAGGAGTCTGGGAGAGATAGATCTGAAAGGAAGGAAAATACAGCTGTTTCAGTGGGCTTCTCATAAAAGAACTGAACCTCTGCTAAATGAAAACCAAAAGGACAGTTTCACTCCAGGTTTACAAGACATGGACATCATGCAATGTTTGAAATCCATGAAGCGTGAATCTGGCAGGGAAGTCTGGATGAAGCCTTGGTGCCATCTCAAATGGCACCGCGGACACTTTGCCAACTTGTCTGATGAGCTGGTCACAAAACAGTCCTTTGTCCCCCAGGAAACACGAATGCTTCAGAGAGATTCATCTTCCAAGTGACAGCAAAACACAAAGCAAACCCAAATTTACCACAATAAAATCCAAATACTTTCACTCACCGTAGACAACCCATGAGGCTTTCTAAGCATCGTGACAGCTTGTTAGCAGAGACAGAAAAAACACCTTTTAGAGCTTATCTAAAGCACAGCTCGGCAGAATTCTTTTTTTACCCCCCCTCTCATTTCAATACACATTTTTCAGGCTCTTCAGGAAATCATTAGTATTCCACAGACAGTGAATAAAACTTTCCATTATTTTATGCCCCTTAATTCTTTAACTTGTTTGGTGCTAAAGGTAAATTTTGGGGGAACAGCAAACAACTGACACTCCACCTCCTGGGGCAGAGTGACTCTCAGTACTGAGGGGCTAGGTTGTCCTGCATCATCACTGGTATCTACTGGAGGGACCCACAGTGGAGTCAGTAAGAGAGGCCAATGACACAGAAAAGCCCTTCAGCAACTAGAGATGGCCAAAGGCTTCTCAGCCACGTGGAGATATGACAATATCCAACCCCTGGGCAACAACAACTCCTCCTTCCCCATCTCAGGAAGGGCTTCCTCATCTTTCAGAGGAAACACTAGTGGGAGAGAGCTCTGACAAAAGAAAAAGAGCAAAAGGGTTGTGTAGGAGAACCCAGAAAAACTGAGGAGGACAGTGCAACCAGGGTGGATTGGAACAGAAGTGGCTTTTAAGGAAGAGGCACCGGACAGGGCCAAGAGGTTCTTCCAGTAGGACTCCAGTGCAATGAGGCTGCAGGGAGAGTGAGAGAGGCAGAACACGCTTGAAAAGGTAAGAAAAGCAGAGATTTCTCTTGACATAAGGCCCACCTCCTGGGGCAGGGTGACTCTCAGTACTGAGGGGCTGGGTTGTCCTGCATCATCACTGGTATCTACTGGAGGGACCCACAGTGGAGTCAGTAAGAGAGGCCAATGACACAGAAAAGCCCTTCAGCAACTAGAGATGGCCAAAGGCTTCTCAGCCACGTGGAGATATGACAATATCCAACCCCTGGGCAACAACAACTCCTCCTTCCCCATCTCAGGAAGGGCTTCCTCATCTTTCAGAGGAAACACTAGTGGGAGAGAGCTCTGACAAAAGAAAAAGAGCAAAAGGGTTGTGTAGGAGAACCCAGAAAAACTGAGGAGGACAGTGCAACCAGGGTGGATTGGAACAGAAGTGGCTTTTAAGGAAGAGGCACCGGACAGGGCCAAGAGGTTCTTCCAGTAGGACTCCAGTGCAATGAGGCTGCAGGGAGAGTGAGAGAGGCAGAACACGCTTGAAAAGGTAAGAAAAGCAGAAAGACCCCATGAAGATCCAACTTGGGTGGGTGCAACCAGGTCAAGTGGAGGAAGGAGAGACCCCGTTTGGTTCCTTACCTGCCTGCCCTGGCTCCGGAAGAACTCTCCCGTGTTCTCGATGACTTGCTCGTCCGAGAGGAGGCTGTATGGCTGCTCCTTGCACAGTATGAACATCTCCCACAGGGTGACCCCAAAGGCCCAGACATCACTGGCTGTGGTGAACTTGCCCTGTGAGCAGAGAGGATGCTGTAAGCCCGGGCTGCTCACATTCAACAAAAAAATCTTTCACTCTACGTTCCCCGCAGCTGAACAGGAGGATGCAGAATCGGTACCTGGGGAAAATGCTCTCAAAAAAAAAAAAAGGAGAGCAGAGCAGGGGACCTGCTCTCAGTAGTGCTCAAAGGGACATTTCTGCTTCGTGGGGCAGGAGCAGCACATCTGTGGGACCACCAGGACAGCACTAAGAGGGGGCAACTGTCACTGTGTTCACTCTTGAAACAAGGAGCAAGTCTCAGAGAGACCCAGAGACTCCTGTCCCTCCTGAGAAAGCACTTGCAGCAGTAGGAAAAATGGATGGAGGGGGGATGGCTGCTGCCTTCCTCCACCCCAAACCCAGCACCTCAGTGCAGAAAAGCTTTGGACGGGAGGCAAAGCCCTCGGGGTGAAAGGAGAGACGAAGCAGACTCCAGACTCTTAGAGAAAGGCCAAGATAATTTTGCTCTTTGCACATGTAAGAAGTCGGTGACAGTCTGCTTGCCATCCCTGTTTTCTGTCCTCGAAAAAATGTGCCCAAACTGGCTGTGTTTGGAACAATGTGTTTCTGAAGAAGTGAAAAAAAAAAAAAAAAAAAAAGCTAAAGAGTGCTCAGAAAGTAACAGAAAACAATTGGGGGCTGGAGGGCCTGTTTGGGCAGAAAAGATCCAAGACCCAGATTGCCCAGACTTATCTGGCAACCCCAGCAGGCTGTAAGTGTCTGGAAGCTGTTCACCCAGGGAAGATGGGAGTCATTAATGGTTTAGATGCAGCTGTCACCAGGAAAATAGGGTGAATTTAGAAAAGCTTAGGCCTATCAGCCTTTATAGCAGAGGTAATTACAACTTTTCTGGGTACTTGGAGACAGTGTTGTGAGAAAGTATAACCACATGATCTCATCAACTACTCTGAGAAAGAAATATGGGGTTGAATATTAAGGAATTGCCCCCAGACTGGATGCATTTGGGCTGTTGAACAATCTCCTGAGGGGAGACAGCAGGACCCTCAAACACGAAACAAAGACCCAACCTTAAAAATTGGACTTGGCTCTTGGAACTCAGGAAGTTCTGTCCCTTCACAGCTGGGGAAACAAGCACAGAAAGGCAATTTCCTTACGATTCCAGCAGGAATCCCAAATGCTAGGCACAGAACAGAAATTATGCCCCCAGATGATCTGAAATTATGCCCTGCGTGTTCACTTCCAAGGGCATGTTCATTTTCCAAGATTCAAGCTATGTCCTACACAACCTAACGGACATCTCACCCGGGGCCATCGGGAGCACACGTCTTGATGCTCTAAGGACCGTGACACACGCACGTGTTGCTATTTCAGGGGCACAAGTGAGAACTGGGAGGAAGGGAGAGAGAAGGATTTTGTGCAGTCCCTACCAGGAGGATGCTCTCCCAGGCCATCCAACGTATGGGCAGGACAGCTCTGCCCTGGATCCGGTAGTAATCCCCGCTGTAGAGATTCCTGCTCATGCCGAAGTCCGCGATCTTGATGGTGTAGTTGTTCCCCACCAGGCAGTTGCGAGTTGCCAGATCCCTGTGCACGAAATTCAGGGAGGCTAAATACTTCATTCCAGAGGCGATCTGGGTGGCCATGTACAGCAGGTTAGAGTAGCTGCATGGAAAGGAAACAAAACAGAAAGAAAAAAAAAATAGAAATAAAAATCAATAGAGTTCCCCAAACTCAACTCTTATTTGACATTTCCTGTGTTTGATGTACTACAGCGACCCAGCATTTATTTTGTGCCATAACAGTGAAACTAAACTGTCTCCCTCCAGGGCATTAACACCCCCACCTGCCAGACTAAGCCAAGTTCCTGAGCTGACTCAGCAAGAACAGACAAGCTGTCCCTGAAATTCAGGGCCCTTAGAATTTGACATCCCTTAGATAATATTTTTTTTTAATATCAAGATTAAAATAAATATCTCAAGATTTTCAAAGAGTTTATGCATCAAAGCACTACCTTTTGGCAGAGAGACATGAAAAATTCAGGTGTACCATCTCAGAACCTCCCATCCAAAAAACTGCTTAGCTCAGTATTTCACACACTGCCACCGCTGAACGCTCACATTGATATGTGTCACTTAACATTAGAGAGCTTCGTTTTTTCTAAAAATATATTTAATATTACTGAGAATATAAACAGATGCATTTTCCACCTAATGTAATTTTAATTCCCCCATTAGCAAAATGGAGATATTATTTAAGTTGCACGATACACAGAATTTGGACCACCTGACTTGCCTCGTTCTTCACACCCCACTCTGTGATGCTGGGCTCGTTTCCCACCGCGTGTGCTCCAACACTTCCCACCAGATGCATTTTCCACCTAATGTAATTTTAACTCCCCCATTAGCAAAATGGAGATAACATTAAGTTGCACGATACACAGAATTTGGACCACCTGACTTGCCTCGTTCTTCACACCCCACTCTGTGATGCTGGGCTTGTTTCCCACCGCGCGTGCTCCAACGCTTCCCAGATTTAAGTTGCACGATACACAGAATTTGGACCACCTGACTTGCCTCGTTCTTCACACCCCACTCTGTGATGCTGGGCTCGTTTCCCACCGCGTGTGCTCCAACACTTCCCACCGCCAAGCCTTTGTCACAACAAACCTAATAAACTCTTCACAGTTAGTATTTCTCTGCTAAAGCTCAGAAAAAGAAAGTCTTAGCCTCCTCCTCTTTTGTGTTCTGGTGGCAATGAGAAAGGCACTACCGCGTTATCTAAATTATCTAAATAATAATGAAATGCATCTGATAACGACAGATCCCACCTAGCTGATGTAATCCATGGCTAAGCTGTTGCCCCACAGATTCAGAGGCAGCCCTTGATGGAGGGGCTGGAGGAGGGTCTGGGCACCACTTCGCTCCCAGCCTTTTGATAAACCCTTCACAGTTAGTATTTCTCTGCTAAAGCTCAGAAAAAGAAAGTCTTAGCCTCCTCCTCTTTTGTCTTCTGATGGCAATGAGAGAAAGGCACTACCGCGTTATCTAAATAATAATGAAATGCATCTGATAACGACAGATCCCACCTAGCTGATGGAATCCATGGCTAAGCTGTTGCCCCACAGATTCAGAGGCAGCCCTTGATGGAGGGGCTGGAGGAGGGTCTGGGCACCACTTGGCTCCCAGCCGTTCATCATGGTGTCCTGGTTGGAGGTAAAACAGAACTAATTTTCAGTAATTTTACTTTTTCAGCTGGGCCTCTTCTAACTAACTAAACTCTGAAATTAACAGCTTATTGTTCAGAAACTGTTCATTCTCACAGTGGTAAGACCTGATTGTACCAAGGAATGGTGTGCAGAGAGGCCCTTGCTTATACTTATTGCTATAAATTTGTTATTTGCCCCATTGGAGGGTTGGAAGCGGAAAAGCGTAGAGGAGGAGGAGGAGGAACAGACAGGACAGCTGACCAAAAACTGACCCATCTGCCCCATGCTCAGTATAAAAGCTGAGAGATCAAAGGGTCAACTCCCTTTCTTCAATGGCCGGTGTCCAAGGAGGGCCCTGTCTCTTCATCTGCCTTTGATCCCGATCCGAGCGTTCCTGACTCCAGATCCAGAATCCAGCTCCTGTCCATCACCGAGTCCAGTCTGGGACTTCTCCCTGTGCCTGCTGGTGACCCGATCATCATCCTGGGAGCTTGATAAGGTGTTGTATATACTGTATATTTTTTTCTTTTTTTCTTTAATTATTTATTTCATTATTTATTAATATTTTCATTAAAGTAGTTTAGTTTTTTTCTAAACTCATAAATCTCTTTTATCTCTTCCTATCCTCTCTTTTCCTTAGAGGGGGGGAGGGAGGGGTCATCTGTTGTTCTGATCAGTCAATCCAGTCAAAACTACCTCCACAACTCAGCCAGGTGACACTGGCCCAGTCCCTCCATGGGCTCGATGCTCAGTCTGGGCAGACCTGTTGTGCCCACAGATCCCGAACTCTGCCACCCCCTCGTACCCTGTTCACCTGGTCGTGGACTCTTCACACAGGGGTGGGCACAGCCTCCAGATCCCACCTTCTCCTTGCCCCTGCTCAGCTGTGGTTGTCCCCCTGCCTGGGGCTGTTCTCTCCCCATTTAAGAAGCCCAGTGTCTCCAGTCCCACCTGCACCCTGGCAGGGTCCCACCAGCAGGTACCTTCTGCCCCACTGCCCCTCTGCAGGGCTGGATGCGTGGGGGTCTCAGCACACTCATCTTCATCTGCTAAACAGCCAGAGAGACGGCAGGGAGATGCATTTTCAAATCCTGAAGAGCCATAAGGATTTAAAAACATGTCGCCTCTCTGCAGGAAAGGGCTGGTCACCACATTTGGTGCACAAGATACTGAGTTTGACAGACGGGTGGGATGGTTGGACCTTGTCCCGTCAATCAGACACCCACAGAGACAAGCTGCACCCTTCAGCAGGGGATTCATTTCACTGTCAGCAAACAACCCCTGTACAGACAGATATCTGAGCCACTCATTCCGGCCGCCTTCAACGTGAAACTCTATCTGGCTGGAAGGGACAAAGGGAGAGGCTGAAGGGTCAAGCCAGAGAGGAAGAAAAACTAGAGGTAGAGCCAAGTAATGGAAACCGAGGAAGAATAACGTGAGCAACAGTGCTGATGTCAGATGAGAGACAAGGAGGAGATAAAGAAAAAAAGGACAGTTTGAGGGTTTGGCCAGGAAAAAAGCCACAAGTCTAAAGGTGAAAGCTGTTTCAGAAAGGGCAGGAGACTGGAGAGAGCTGGAATATGTTGCTACTCAGATGCAAACCCTCTCCCATCCTACAGTTTCTGCTGTGTGGTGACTGCAGGACACCAATTTAGCACTCCCTGACAGGACCCCTGACCACTGCCAGCCACCAGCAGAACCACTGGTGTTGTCTCCACCTGGTAAGACCCAGTGATCTCCCATCCAGTCCATCAACAGAACTTTCCCTGCCTACCTGCCTTCCTGAACTATAAACAAACCCAATCCTTTGGGAGGTACATGCCAGAGGCTAAGATGTGCAGTGATTTCTGATCAGTGCAGGTTTATGGGGCAGAACACACGTTAGTCCTACACAACTCTCCTCTGAGGAAAGGATTTCTGCAATAGTAGAGCTGCTTTTACACTAGATTTAATCCTTCCATAGAGGAGGGAGCTAAGTGCCACCACTGACAGACAACGGTTTTCTTGCCAAATATTCCCTTTCTGTTGGCTGATGAAATCTTTCCTGCACTCAGCTCCACTCATGTATTATTTTTCAAACGTCCAGAGAACACACAAACCTCCTTAAAAGCCTAAGAGACATTCTTGACTGGCATCCCAAAATTCTTGCTGTAACGCCACTGGCTTCCCATATTAATGAAATATTTGGTGCAAACCCAGTAACATAAACAGATGGTCCCATCAGTAAACAATACATCTCAGATAGTCACCGTGACCAGAACATCCCGCAGCCAGGGACACTTCAGAGGAACACAGACCCCCAGAGGCCTCAAGAACAACCTCCCACACAAGGTAGGACTCGTGTCCACAGCACGTGCCAGAGGAAGGTCACCATCTGGAGGGCACAGCAGGTCGAACCGGTAGCTCTGTAATACTGATTTGTCCCAAACACGGGCAGCTCCTCTTACCTGACGCAGGGAATATTGTTTGAAATGGCAAATTTGCTGTAGATCTCCCTCTGCGACAGGAACTGGTTGAGGTCTCCGTTCTCCATGTATTCCGTTATCATGCACAGCGGGTCGTCGCGCACACACACCCCCAGGAGCCGGATGATATTTGGGTTCTTCAGCCGCGACATGATCTTGATCTCCTTCAGGAAGTCATTTCTTGTAAAACAGAAAACACAGGTTTGAATCCTAAACTATTCCTTTGTCTAAGGAAAGCAGAAGTAGCACTTAAGAAAAAAATCTCTGTTCAGAGACATTTACACATCTCCACACAGCAGTTTGAAAGCTGGTTCTGTGCTTGTGTTCCCACTGGCTCCTTCCCCAGCAAACTGGGCACGTTTAGTTTGGAGAAGAGGAGGCTGAGGGGAGACCTCATTGCCCTCTACAACTACCTGAAAGGAGGTTGTAGAGAGGCAGGTGTTGGCCTCTTCTCCCAAAGGACGAACGACAAGACCAGAGGAAATGGTCTGAAGTTGGGGCAGGGGAGATTTAGATTAGATATTAGAAAGAACTACTTTACTGAGAGAGTGGTCAGGCACTGGAACAGCCTGCCCAGGGAGGTGGTGGAGTCACCATCCCTGAAGGGATTTAAGAACCGTATAGACATGGCTCTTCAGGGCATGCTCTAGTGCCCAAGGTTATTGGTTTATGGTGAGGTGTTGAGTGTGGGGTCTCGTTGGTGGGTGCGGTGTTTTTGGTGGGCGTTTGGTGTGGTGTGTTTTGTATTTGTTTGGGTTGGTGGTTTTTTTTTTGTTTTGTGGTTTTTTTGTTGGTTTTTTTGTTTGTTTGGTTGGTTTTTTTGGTGGTGGTTGGACTCGATGATCTCAGAGGTCCCTTCCAATCACTAAGATTCTGTGATTCTGTAATCTGTGAAACAGGATAAACACAGCATTTCAGCTTGACATTACATCTGCTCCTGTCCTCCCCTCCCTGCGTGTGTTCCTTTTATTACACAAACACACAGCACACACTAAAGACACACGACACTCACTCACAGAAGTCACCAGGGTTAACGTGTGTGAAACTGTTGCTGGGGGAGTATTTGCTTCCCCTCTCAGCCCTGCGGATGCATGTACCTGGCTGTTTTGTTGACATCTGATCTCAGCATTTTCACGGCTACGAGGACTGGCTGGTGGGTGAATTCCGAAGAGGAGACTCCCAGGAATTCCAGCAGGCCATCAGCTTCACAAAGGTGCACCTGCGGGGCAGGAGGCAGCCATGAGAGCATGCACAGGCCAAAAACCGGAGGATAACACTGTCACATCGAGGTCATCGGTTGGGTCACCACTGGCAGAAGGACCAAGCGAATGATCTCATGAAGGTGACTCTGCTCTGATCGGAAATAGCCTATAGGTTGGCCCTAGATCCTGGACAAAATGTGTACATACATGATATAGCCCGTGCTGTAGGGTGGCTGTGGATTGCAGCCTCACAGCTCCCCAAGGCACTGAATTTACCGCACTTGTGCAGACTGGTGCAGTAGATTACTGGGGCAGTCCCAGCGTTCCCAGCAAGTACTGGGGATGTTCAGAAAGGCCACTGTGCTGGAGTTGTCTGCTTTACTCCACCTGGGCATGCCAACAGTCGGGCTGTAGAGGTTTGGCATGTACAGCTCACCCCAGTCATACACATACACAACTGTCCTGCAACCAGCTCCAGCCATCGCTCAAACGTAACTGAGGAGCATCCAGCAGTTACAGACAGCTATCCACAGTCCTCTGATTTCAGGGGAAAAAGAAAGAAAAAAAAAAAAGAGAAAAGTGTGTGTCCATCCATGCGTATGTGATGTGAACACCTCACCTGTGAATATACCCAGAGAGGAATACTCTAGTGAGTACACAAAATGCCAAGTTTCTTCAGATAAATAAATGAATAAAGACATAAAGTTACTGCCATAAAGTTACTGTTGTGTAAGAAAGGAGGTGACAAGACATTTGGCTTAAGAATTTACCAGAATGCATATTCTACTGGAGAACTGGGTGGGGAAAGCAGACAGACCTGAGCGCGTGGGACAGGAAAAAGGACCGGAGGAGGGAGCAGACTGGATGTGTCAGCCAAAGCCTTGGAGCAGTGAGGGGAATGTAATGGGAGTTTAATGAATTTTATATGAAGCAAGCACAAGAACTTACGTGACCAGCATGGCGAGGTGAAAAAGGGAGACAGCACAGAGAAACAGGACAAACCCACAGAATAGGAACAGAAGTACAAAGATGCTGCTGTGGCTACATGGAGGATGAAATCTGCTGTGGGGAGAGAGCAGGAATAGGAAAGAGCTGTGGTGCTCAGTGCATGTATGTGCAGTGCAAGTGCAAGTGCAAGTGCAATGTGCAAGTGCAGGTAATGTGTCACTGGGAGTGGATGGTTAGGACCTAAGGAAGAAAAAAAAGCTTGAAAGGGAAGAAAGCTCTGAGTGGAGAGGTGAAAATAAAAAAGCAATGAGCCATGTTGCTAGAAGGGAGACTGCACACTAAGCCTGAGAAGTGGAGCAGAGCATGTGATGACAACCAGTTTGGTAAAGACTAAGGAGGTGAGGAGGAGAGAAGGGAGAACGTGATGCAGCACATTTGCAAAAGTGAGGGAAAGCGGCTGTGATGTGAGGAAAGGAACAGGCTCAGAATCAATCTCCCAGGAAAATGGAGATGGGGAGCCTGGCTGCTGCTGTTTGACGACACAGAGGAGGAGGAGGAGAAAGCTTTGACAGGTATAAAGACAGAAACGAGAGGGAAGGAGAAACCAGAAGCAAAACAAAGAGGGGAAAAAAAAGCCTCTCTGTTTCACTTTTGGAGCACAGCCCAAGACAGGGCAGGATCCAGGCACCAGCAGAAGGGACTGTACTGACAGCCAGGTGAAGAGATGGAGGATGTCAGCGCTTTTCCAATACACTGAGTGACCCAGAAAGAAGTGAGGGGGACAGGGAAGGGGCTGAGGTAGGGAAGGTGGGCTGTCAGAAGACAGGAAGTATAAAGATGGGCCCATCACAGGTGAGGAAGGGCTGTGCTTTGCCAAAATGTAGCAGACAGGTAGAATTGAAAGCTGTCAGTGAGCAAAAGCAGGGCAGGAAAGAGACAGCAGAAGAGTGGGAGTGGGTGAGGAGAAGACTGGAACTAGGGATGGTGTGGAAACAAAGCAGGGATAGAAGAAAAGGCGAGGTGAAAACACTCACAGCTTGAAAGCAGCTCAAGGAGTCCAGAGAAAGCTTAGCAGATGTATGTATCATGCTGCCTGAGGCTTCCAACACAAACCCGGGCTTAAGTGAGCAGCAGTGCTAGAGAGCGTGTGAGGGCACCACAGGGCCTGGGACATGTCTGTCCCTGCTTGGGCCAGCACCAGAGCTGCACCAGAACCTCCACTTGTTAATGTGAAAGCTGTTTTTTACAACTAGGATCAATCTGTCTTGGCTGGAGTCACTGCTAGTTTTCAAACTTGAGCCTAAAGGTGGGTGACAGCCACCCCATGTTTGAGATATCCATGGACAACCACAAAACAGCCCGAGTTCTCATCCCTAGGCCTTTTCTGTAGGATCATAAATGGGGATATAGAGAGTGAACAGAAGTCTGCAAAGCTCATCTGTTGAGAAAGACTCATGTGGTTCCAGCAGCAGCCTCACAGGTACAGAATGAGGCTCTGAAGCCTACGCTAAGGGACATCAGCTTTCCCCACCAGCAAAGACATGTATTAAATAAAATACTGATAAAATACTGCAGGTCCCTCAGCCCCCAGATGTGACGCAGAGCCAGAGGGGCAGCTCAGAAGCTTCACTGTGCCAAGCACGTTCTTTCTGCTGAGAATGGCTGTACCTCTCCAAACTGTCCTTCTCCCAGCTTCTCCTTGAGTCGTAGCTGCTGCCGAGGGAACTCCCCCACCGAGATGTCCTTCTTGGTAAGCGAGTCCACGGTGAGGGCCGGGACTGCATACATGTTGTTGCCGGTCACACCTTGCAGGTGGACAATATCTGTCTCAGCATAGTGAGGAACGTTGTTCTGAAAGCCTTGGTGAGGGGTGGACTTGGTCAGGTCGGGCTCAGCATAGTCCCCACTGCACACTATGGGGAAACCAGAGACACACGGAGTCAGACACTCCCATAAAACCAGTATGGCCTGGGTTCCACCCCTCTCCATCCCGCAGACCTCTGGGAATCCAGCCTAACTGCACACCTACGTCCTCGTACCAAGGTACATGCAGATGGAAGACACTGCTTTGCTTTTTTGGGGCTTAAACCAGATGAAGCCACACTTGTGCAGCCACCAGAAAACCCGTGAGGTGCCAGTGAACTCCTGTCAAACAGCTGCCTGCTCTGCCCAGTTATGAGAGCTACAGTTCTTGCCCAGACATGGAAAGATGAGTCTGAAGTGATTTCCTGTTTCTGATTCATCCTAAATACAATCCCTTTCCCTGACCTGACGCAGGAAGGTTGTCTGCAACATCAGACCTGCTCTGGATTCCCTTCTGCAATAAAACTGATCGAGGTTTCCATTTCCCATGTACATTTTAGCACGCCATGCCACCTCCTACAGCCTATCCACATAAATAGCATGGGATAACTCTTTACAATTAACTCCCTGTAAGGTCAGAATTACACAGCAGTTGTTCTGCTTCAGATTCCCACCCTGACTCAATCCAAATCAATCTTCCTGTGTAGTATAATGCTGGATCTTAGCAGCTTGTCAGTGCTTGGGGAATGCAGCACTGCCCTTCCATTCACTAATCAGCACTGCCAGCGCCGAGTAAAAAAACGCTGCTGGAAATGTTCCCTTCTGTGAGTGTCCAAAAACTCCCCAGGGGCTGGAAGCCAGTGCACCACTGACAATTCTCTGCTGTGTTTCCCCCTGCTTTTTCCAAGGAAATTTCACAGAGCCCTTCTTGCAGGAAGAAGTACTAAAGGTCTTCTTCACCAGCCAGCCTGGACAGCCCAGGAGTGCTGCAGGGACCGACCGAGACCAACGATGAGTGATTGCTAAAACCAGCTCCTAAAAGATGACCTGTCTAACGTGTAAATGCAGTCTTCAAAGAGAACAATTAGAGGCCACCACCCTCTAGTGGGGCTGGTGCTCCATCTGCCAACGCTAAGTGCTAAAAGTTTCAGAGCTCCAGAATATTCTCTCAGGTCCTTGGGTTAGTGTTGCATTGCACAGGAGTCAGGGAAGATTACTTAGACACTGAGAAGTGGCACATTTTATAACTTGAGGGAAATAATAAAAGAATAAATGCAGATAAACTGATAAATAAATAAATTTATCAGAGTTATGTTGATGGTTGGACTATATGACCTTAAAGGTCCCTTCCAACATAGACAATTCTATGATTCTAAGAATAAATGCATAACTTTTGGAGACTGATGATTACATTACCTGAATCCTCTGCACTTTGGGAAAGCTCCGGAAGCTTTTGGAGCAGCGTGGCTGGCTGATGATATTCCAAATCCAGTGGGAAAGCACGTTCATAGGTGGGATTGGACTGGTGGATCTGGGTCTGGTTGTTGGCAATGGTGTAGCTATAGAAGGAGAGGCGAACCGTGGCATCCTCCTCCAGGATTCGACGTGGGGCCTGCAAAAGAGAAAGAAAAAAAAAATGCTGAGGCCATGCTCAGTTGTTAAGTAATGTATTGGCTGCAACCACAGCAATTTCCAGTAATATCTTGGACAGGGCTGGCATCCTCCCCTGCTGTGAGAACAGAGTTTTAGCTGCTCTACGGAGCTGGGGAAACTCTGCGCCTTCCACTCCGAGATCATCGGGGTTAATACTTAATACTGAACTTGTGTCTGCAGAATAGCCCCATTGTATTACCTTTTCCAACCTTTTTTGAACATACTGCTTCCAAAGAATAACGATTATGATCATCAGGAGCAGAAGAATAATAGCCACAAGGCAGCCCACGAGGATGGAGGTATTGGAGTCATCTGCTTTCTCTCCTATCCAGGTGCTGGTTACAGAAGAAGTGGTTTCTGCAATCACAGAGGTATGAAGAAGAATCTGGAGTTAACAAAGCCCAGGTTGTTACCTGTGCTGGCTAACTGCCACCACGTCCCTTCCTACAAGTCCCCGGTACAGAAAAGATCTCAAGCAGCCTCCTGAGCATTAACATTAGCTGGTTCACATTTTGCTCTCATCAGAAATTCTCATTTTGGAGGCTCACAGCTAAGAATTGTGCAGAGAACTTCTGCAGTCAGACTGTTCTTAGCCGTGGAACAGGTTCCTGTGACAGATCCATGATAGATCAGACAGTTTTCAGAGTTTCTCTGGCTGCACATAAAGCTCCAGCCCACTTGCTGTGAGGCAGCCTCGGCCAGCTGAGGGAAGAAAAACCAGCTGAGGCTCAGAGGACTGTAAAACACAGCCCTGTGCATGAGGGCAACAACCAGGCCATACCCCGGATCTCCAGAAATGGAGAGGGGAGAGGCCACGCCAACTAGGGTGTCACTGTGAAATCCCCTGACACTTGAGCCCTTGGCAGGGTTAAGTGACAGAAGTCCTTACCCCAAGTCCCCTCGGTAACGTTGCACTCTGTTTCCAGGAGATCAGTCGTGCTGGTGGCTGCCGTAACAAAATTGGGATTCACGCTCTCCATGTCTGTGGAGGGGAAGGGAAGGCATCAGTTCAACAACCTCCGGGCTCCTGCCAGGGGTGAGTGCAATCCCAGCCACCATCCCTGCCTTCCCGAGCAGCACGGGGCTGAGACGTCACCACCAGAGGAGCAGAGATACCTGCTCACCTCTCAGCACCCGCAGGGATGAGCCTCTCCACCACACAGCGTGTGCTTCCTGACCCCAGCAAACTGCCAGTGTGTGCAGGAGCCTCCCCTGAGCTCGGCCAGAGAGAAGGAGCTGCAGCAAGAGCTTTCCTTTTTCCCATTTTAGCATAATTATAAGAATAGTCAGCCCAGCCCAGCTCAGGAGTCTGCCTAGTCCCATGCACGACAGCGAGGGGAGCCAGGGGGGGCTGCTATCAGCAAGGTAAGGAGCAAGCTGCCATCAGAGCACTCTTTCCTCAGGAACCTCCTCTCATATAGCTGGTTAGGGACCTTCTATTAGGAAGCTACAGCCAGGTCAGTTCACTGTCAGCACTGGCAGTTTTCTCCAAGACTTTGTCCATTCCCTTCTAGAGCCCTTTAAAGCACCTCACGGCACCGACTTATGCATCACAGTTAAGACTTGGGAAAAAAAAAAAACAAGTCAGCCACTTACTTTTCATAATCTGCTAACTTGATCATCAGCTCTACATACAATTAAATTATTTGTAACAGAATACTCGGTAAAGGGGAGTAAAAATCAATCCCACAAGCAGCAGGCAGCTGTCCCAAGAAGAAGAAGAAACGCCCTGTAGTCCAATTTTTTATTGTGCTGGTTGTGCTTCTCCACATGTGCATCAGCCTGAAAAGCACCCACCGTAGACCAGACCCTTCTGCCCCTGCATTGTCCTTCCAGCCCTCTCAGTGCTTCTACCTCCTCCTTGCTATCCTGTAGCCCCACAGTGCCCTACACCCGTGTTAACCCCACATGTCCCACACCTCCACACCATCTTTTCTGCTCCCTGTGCTTCCCCAGATCCACTCGACGTGGAGGCATCCTCACCTGACTGGAAGGAAATCTCACTCATCATCATCCAGGTGTCAGCGAAGTAGAAGCGGCAAAGTATGGCTTTACCCACGCGCTGGTTGAGGGGGACAGTCACAAACCTAGCGCTGGGGTTTTTGTCATCTAAGACAGTTGCCACCCCGACAGGTTCGGGCTCCCAGTCTGCAATCAGGCGTGGTTTGAACAGACACTCCACCTTCTGGAAGATCTTCACCCCCTTGGAAAACATGTTGTTACAATGCACCTGGGAAGAAGAGGAGCAGATCAGAGAGGAGGAAGGCTTACGCACACCTAAATCAAGCCACAGGGATTTTCTGTTCATGAAGATTTTCTGTTTCTAATTTCTCCCTGTGTGAATACTCCTAACCCAGAATGAGTGACTTGTTCCAGCAGAGCTTCATCCACTCGTAGTGTACAATCAGAAAATTTGTGCAAAATTGATTCTGAAATAGCTCTTAACTTTACCCGCATTAACATTAATGGTCAAATATGGGGAGGCTCTTCAAAAGGCCCATGTAAAAATCAAACAAACCAACCCTGTACTAATCTAAAGCTTCACAGACCAATTCTCTTGAACATACACAGACTAATTCCCATGAACATACACCCTAAGAGGGGAAAGAAAACCACACCAGGGCTCTAGCCTCTTCTAGAAAGCCTTCAGCATCCACAGTCTAAGATTGCTTCTTCCAAAAAAATGACCAAGCAATACATGCAGGCTGGAGAAGATATTCCCCCTTGACACACAGCAGCTCTTCTGCTATCGGTGCTCCTTGAAGACAACTGAAGATCTAAATTTTCTTTACACCATCGCGTAAGCCTGCATCCACCAACCTCTCTTGATGGCTCAGTAGATCATTGGGCTGTCCCTGCTCCCACCACTGGTGTAGCTAATGATGTGGAATTTGAAGGGCAATCACTAATCACCTGCTGCTGCTGCCAAGCTAACATCTCACTGAAACAAAGGTGTCCTCTCTCATCTCTGAGGTGGTTCTTCATAAGCCACTTCAGACTAAGCAGTTCGCAAACTGCTTTGAGGCTGACTTCACACCTCTGCATTTGGGAGGTTTGTTTTACCCTCCCTTTCTGCTCTTGGTTTGCACCCAAACAAAGAGGCTCCAGCATAGAAGTGACATCTCTGTGTCCCTGGGCTGTGGCCCTGCAGACCCAGCAACACCAAAGTCCTGGGACTCTCCCAGGCCTCCAGAACTTCCAAGGAGCAGGCTTTGCAAAGAGGGACAAGGCTTGGAAGGATCCCTTAATGCTGTTTCTTCAATGCAAATCTCGCCCTGCACCTTTTTAAACAAACTAACATGGCAGTTTAAATCCTGCCACCCAGTCCTGAAGATCTAAACCACATTATTTTGGCACTGGGGCCAGTGACCAGGAACAAGGTGACCCTTAAAGTCTTCAGTATCCCTCAGTCCATTCCGTTTCCATAGCCGTGGTGGTCTGACCCTCCCTGGTGACTCCAGGAATTATTTCCTAATGACGATGGAGTATTAGCAACTGTGACAACAACAGCTTCCAAACGAAGGGCAGCTTTGAACTTTATTAATTGCTTGGCCTCTGTGAGGTCTCGCAGTGAATAGCAGCGAAGCAGTAATGAGGACGACAGGCCTGATGAGCAGTAAAAAGACAAAAGAGGGGTATTTGCATATAATTAGGAACAGATGAAGCTTAGACAACGTTATTCAATAAGGAGAAATAGTCATCCATAACAAGGCAGGGAAGCCTGAAGCCTGCACTATACAATTTGTGCCGTATTTGGAGAGGAGTTGGATACGGTCACATCTTGGACTGCTCCAGAGACACTGTCTATTCCAGACACCGCCTACCAATGTCCAATTTTATAACAGGCAAGCCTAAGTCATTTGCAATGCAGCTGCAATATTTGCTAACGTTTATTTTTAATACTTCCTTGGATACTGGGCAAGCTCAGAAAACTGGACTGAAGCTAACAGGTATGAAGCTACAACACAGCATTTACAAGCCACCTGGCCTGTAGAAAATACATGCAAAGCTGAAACAGACAACGTTCAATTAAGAATGAAGAATAATTTACGCTAATCAATACAGCTTTACAATGAAATACTAAATGAAACAGCTATTTTTATGAGCCTATGTGTTTGGTTGATCAGGGTGGCTGCGTTTATGTGATTTACCATATTTTTATAAGGCATTTGACTTACTCATTATAACATGTGACTCCAATTAGCATAGTATGAACTCACAAACTACATTAATGGATTAAAAATTTGTCAACTAGTAAATCTCACAAGTTTCAGGGCACAAATCATTCTTCTGTAGGTGTTTTTCTAGCAGGAATGTATTCCTAGCTCAAGGTTATTCGCTACCTTTTTCAATGATCTGAAAAAGACAGCAGAATCGCTAGCAATAAGATCAATTAAATGAGGAAATAAATAAATCAAAGTTTCCTAAAATAATCTGAAGTTTTCAGGACTGACTCATTTCAGGTGAACTCGGGAACAACATGTAAGTGATGCTTTCTAAACTGGACTTTTATCCTGGACACCAGTAACTTTGAACTGACTTTTAGCATGATACCAAAGCCTTAATGAACACTGGCTGTCTGTCTGTTGGCGAGGAGAAGCAATATGATCACAAAATTCATAAACAAAGAAAAATCACCCAAAAGGAGGAAAGTGGTACCACTCTTTTACACAGTTTGATGGAAAACCTGCATTCAGTTCCGGTTTCCATACAGCCAAAAGAATACTGGCAAAGGAAGAAAGGATTGGAAGACAGCTACAGGAATGACCCTGGATCTCATGGGGAAGGCACTGAGAAGTTCAGGCTGCTTAGATTACTGAAGAAAAAATTAAGAGAGTGGTTTAATCACAGTGTAGAAGCAGGAAAGTTTCTGAGAAGGCAGGACTCTTTCTTTTTTTGCCAGCAAAAGCAGACCAAGAGCCAATGGTTGCAAGTTAAAAATAGACAAAATAAAACTAGGGTAAGTAACCACCAAAACAATTTACTTAAGGATGTGGTGGGTTCCCCTTCATTTGAAATCTCTACAAGAAAAGCCACCAATCCTTTTTAAAGGATTCTTCTGTTTACTACAGACTCAAAGTTCAGTTCATCCTTTTCCTGTGTGTTTAAGAAATTTCCCACAGCACAAGCAAAGATTGAGGCATCGAGAGAAATTTTTGGTCAAAACGGAAGCACGTTCCTTTACCTCAAGGGTCAGGCAGCCCTTAGACAGTAAGCAGCCTACATCCTAAATCCTCCTCAGCTGCCCAACCACTGCTTCAGATGGCTGCCTGTTATCCCTTTGAGCCAAATACTGAAAGGAGAAGGACAGGATGCCACCCAGAGGGACCTGGACAGGCTGGAGACCTGGGCCTGTGCAAACTTCAAAGTTCAGAGGATGCCACCCAGAGGGACCTGGACAGGCCAGAGACTTGGGCCTATGCAAACCTCAAAGTTCAGGAAGACCAAGTGCAAGGTCCTGCACCTGGGTCGGGGCAATCCCAGGCACAAATCCAGGCTGGGGAGAGAATGGACTGAGAACAGCCCTGAAGAGGATTTGGGGGTGTTGGTGGATGAGAAGCTCAACATGAGCCAGCAACGTGCGCTGGCGGCCCAGAAAGCCCCCCACACCCCAGGCTGCACCCCCAGCAGCGTGGCCAGCAGGGCGAGGGGGGGGATTCTGCCCCTCTGCTCTGCTCTGGGGAGACCCCCCTGCGGCGCTGCCTCCAGCTCTGGGGCCACCAACATCGACATTGTTGGAGCAGGGCCAGAGGAGGCCATGGAGATGCTGGGAGGGCTGGAGCCCCTCTGCTGGGAGGACAGGCTGAGAGAGTTGGAGAAGAGAAGGCTCCAAGGAGACCTTAGAGCCCCTTCCAGTACCTGAAGGGGCTCCAGGAAATCTGGGAAGGGACTCTGGATCAGGGAGGGCAGAGATAGGACAAGGGGGAATGGCTTCAAACTGAAAGAGGGGAGATTGAAATGAGATCTGGGGAAGAACTTCTTTGCTGTGAAGGTGGTGAGAACCTGGCCCAGGTTGCCCAGAGAAGCTGTGGCTGCCCCATCCTTGGAGGGGTTCAAGGCCAGGTTAGGGGGGGCTTTGAGCAACCTGGTCTGGTGGGAGGTGTCCCTGCCCAGGGCAGGGGGGTTGGAGCTAAATGGTCCCTTCCAATCCAAACCACTCTGCGATTCCATGAGCTCTGGAGAGGCAAGTGCTCCTCTGCTTCACTTTCTACATTGACAAACTTGGGATGACTCCTGTTCTGTCTGTGGTGGACTCTACTGTCAGGCTCCTCATATCCTCCTGCTTTGCAAAGAGGATGCAGAAGGGATATTTGGAAACACCCAGACTCAAAGCCAGCCCAGGCTGCTGAAGAGGGACAAAGCTGACTACCTTCATGGAGGTGAAGTTCCGTGGTCGGTCAAACTGGAACTCCATTTCAACAGAGCCCGTGCTGAAGCTCTCGTTCTTCCAGCCAACATAGTCATAGCCCGGCCACACACGGTACTGGTGGCTCTGTGTGAAATCATCCAGTCCAAGCACACCATCCGTCAGCTGGCCCAGACCACCGTACAAGTGCCTAGTGAGAAAGAACCAAGAGTTAGGCAGAATCCAGCCCAGAGAGCTCAAATGGGAAAGCACACAGCTCCTTCAACGGGTACCAGGAAAATATTAGTTTGTTTATTTATCTTAACCCATCCTGGACAAGAACTCATTCCCTGTTATTACACAACATCACTTATTTTGTTCAGGCTGGGCTTTCAAAATCTTTCCCTGCTTGGGAAAAGGCAGAAGTTTTTGTATTGATATCAAGCACCGACGGCAAAGCCAAGCTACGAGCAGAGCCTCTCGAGAACAAAAACAGACTACAGAAAATGACACTGTGTGCTCTCAAACAGCTTTAATTGCGGCATTTCAGCATGGAGCTGCATGGGAGGAACCGCTCCATCCTGTCCTGGGGGATCCAGTAGGGAAAGCTTTGCAGGCGGGCACAGAAAAGCAGGAAAAGCAGCAAGACCACGGGCAGCTCAGGCAGCTGCCAGCTCTAACCAGGATCATTTCTGGCATTGCTCCTCGTGCCAGAGGGGAGTGTTATCGGCTCCTTTTCCAAGGCTGACCAGGCTCTTCACCCAGGACCCTGCCTCATTCTGCCTCCTAACCAAGGGTGCAGAGCCCCCTGTACAGTTTCCCAGCACAGCCCCAGAGCAGAAGGTGTCAGGTGTGGGACACTCCTGACTCACCTGCCCTTCTGGGCACCATCCCTGCCATGTCCCTTGTCCTACAGCAGGGAAAATGCAAACAGTTTGGCTCTATTAGTGCCTGAACTTGCTGCCTGGACCCGTTCCATCCAGCCGCCTCTGGCGGCGTTTGCAGCCCGGGCTGGGCTGCTGCGTGCACTGAAGCTCTGCAAGTCCATCCCAGTGGAGCTCTCCTGACACCAGAATTTGCACAGGTATGTGTGCCTTTGAACTCCAGAACAGGATTAGCAGCTGGAAGAGGCTGACACCTGCTCCCAGGCCAGTCAGGGATATGACCTCAAGGTTAAGGAGTTTGAAAAGTCCTTGCTTAGCACATTGGGGTTTGTGTCTACATCTGCAGCTCCCTGACACTCCCCAGCAGACCCTGCTCCCTCAGTTACTGCCACACAGCCAAGTGTAGCACCTACACCTTTCTGCACACAAATCCCTTCTTTTTTTTTTTTTTTTAATATCCAATTCCTACTATTATCTATGCAGCTTGAAAGCATCAGATATTAACATATAAAGACATTGTTACCCAGTATCTTGCAACACCCCACAAGCGTGAAGAATGCACTTTTCACCCCCTTATTTTAACCTCCAGCACCGCAGAACACAATGAAGTTTACAAAAATCACCTCTAAGCATGAAAAAAATTATAGGCACCATTAAACATTTTCAGGAAGCAAATACCAACTGAAACAGGACATAAAATAAAAGCATCTTAAGTCAACGGATGACACCGGGTCACTAAGGAGACACTGTCGGGTCACTTATTGGGCACATTCCCACCCAGGCAGGGATATGGTACCTCGAGAGGACACCCATGCCCAAGTCTGTCTGAGGTTTCAAGACACTGAAACACACTTAGATACCTATTTATAGCAAAGAAAGTGGTCACACTAAATGTCTGAAAGTTCAGGAAGTTATTTAACATTTCAGCTACAGACTCTTAATGAGCTCTCCTTCCATAAGGGACAAGTACTGAGTAAACCAGAGACACCTCAAAATGTCAATAACGTGCCACCCTACCCAACTAATCCGTGACATGAAAAATTAACAGACCTTGTAACGAGCTGCCAAAATCCAGGTACTTTAGGCTTTTTGACTCCAAATTGGAAAAGCATCATACCCAAGAAATCTTTACAGTGAGTAATCAGCCACCATCCTCTCATGCCACATTGGCAATGGTGCCTTTGCTGCCCTGGAGCTTCTCACAGGGAGTGATGCAGTTTTCCAAGTTGTTTCAAGTCCATCAGAGCTTTGCTTTCAAAAACAATTATCTCAAAATCTGTCCAGAAGCTCACAGGTACCAAGTGCAGGCCTAGAGTTCAGGTGTTGCACGCTTTCTTGGATGCCCAGTTTACCCTGGAGACCTCCTTGCATACATGTTGTTGCCGGTCACACCTTGCAGGTGGACAATATCTGTCTCAGCATAGTGAGGAACGTTGTTCTGAAAGCCTTGGTGAGGGGTGGACTTGGTCAGGTCGGGCTCAGCATAGTCCCCACTGCACACTATGGGGAAACCAGAGACACACGGAGTCAGACACTCCCATAAAACCAGTATGGCCTGGGTTCCACCCCTCTCCATCCCGCAGACCTCTGGGAATCCAGCCTAACTGCACACCTACGTCCTCGTACCAAGGTACATGCAGATGGAAGACACTGCTTTGCTTTTTTGGGGCTTAAACCAGATGAAGCCACACTTGTGCAGCCACCAGAAAACCCGTGAGGTGCCAGTGAACTCCTGTCAAACAGCTGCCTGCTCTGCCCAGTTATGAGAGCTACAGTTCTTGCCCAGACATGGAAAGATGAGTCTGAAGTGATTTCCTGTTTCTGATTCATCCTAAATACAATCCCTTTCCCTGACCTGACGCAGGAAGGTTGTCTGCAACATCAGACCTGCTCTGGATTCCCTTCTGCAATAAAACTGATCGAGGTTTCCATTTCCCATGTACATTTTAGCACGCCATGCCACCTCCTACAGCCTATCCACATAAATAGCATGGGATAACTCTTTACAATTAACTCCCTGTAAGGTCAGAATTACACAGCAGTTGTTCTGCTTCAGATTCCCACCCTGACTCAATCCAAATCAATCTTCCTGTGTAGTATAATGCTGGATCTTAGCAGCTTGTCAGTGCTTGGGGAATGCAGCACTGCCCTTCCATTCACTAATCAGCACTGCCAGCGCCGAGTAAAAAAACGCTGCTGGAAATGTTCCCTTCTGTGAGTGTCCAAAAACTCCCCAGGGGCTGGAAGCCAGTGCACCACTGACAATTCTCTGCTGTGTTTCCCCCTGCTTTTTCCAAGGAAATTTCACAGAGCCCTTCTTGCAGGAAGAAGTACTAAAGGTCTTCTTCACCAGCCAGCCTGGACAGCCCAGGAGTGCTGCAGGGACCGACCGAGACCAACGATGAGTGATTGCTAAAACCAGCTCCTAAAAGATGACCTGTCTAACGTGTAAATGCAGTCTTCAAAGAGAACAATTAGAGGCCACCACCCTCTAGTGGGGCTGGTGCTCCATCTGCCAACGCTAAGTGCTAAAAGTTTCAGAGCTCCAGAATATTCTCTCAGGTCCTTGGGTTAGTGTTGCATTGCACAGGAGTCAGGGAAGATTACTTAGACACTGAGAAGTGGCACATTTTATAACTTGAGGGAAATAATAAAAGAATAAATGCAGATAAACTGATAAATAAATAAATTTATCAGAGTTATGTTGATGGTTGGACTATATGACCTTAAAGGTCCCTTCCAACATAGACAATTCTATGATTCTAAGAATAAATGCATAACTTTTGGAGACTGATGATTACATTACCTGAATCCTCTGCACTTTGGGAAAGCTCCGGAAGCTTTTGGAGCAGCGTGGCTGGCTGATGATATTCCAAATCCAGTGGGAAAGCACGTTCATAGGTGGGATTGGACTGGTGGATCTGGGTCTGGTTGTTGGCAATGGTGTAGCTATAGAAGGAGAGGCGAACCGTGGCATCCTCCTCCAGGATTCGACGTGGGGCCTGCAAAAGAGAAAGAAAAAAAAAATGCTGAGGCCATGCTCAGTTGTTAAGTAATGTATTGGCTGCAACCACAGCAATTTCCAGTAATATCTTGGACAGGGCTGGCATCCTCCCCTGCTGTGAGAACAGAGTTTTAGCTGCTCTACGGAGCTGGGGAAACTCTGCGCCTTCCACTCCGAGATCATCGGGGTTAATACTTAATACTGAACTTGTGTCTGCAGAATAGCCCCATTGTATTACCTTTTCCAACCTTTTTTGAACATACTGCTTCCAAAGAATAACGATTATGATCATCAGGAGCAGAAGAATAATAGCCACAAGGCAGCCCACGAGGATGGAGGTATTGGAGTCATCTGCTTTCTCTCCTATCCAGGTGCTGGTTACAGAAGAAGTGGTTTCTGCAATCACAGAGGTATGAAGAAGAATCTGGAGTTAACAAAGCCCAGGTTGTTACCTGTGCTGGCTAACTGCCACCACGTCCCTTCCTACAAGTCCCCGGTACAGAAAAGATCTCAAGCAGCCTCCTGAGCATTAACGTTAGCTGTGTTCACATTTTGCTCTCATCAGAAATTCTCATTTTGGAGGCTCACAGCTAAGAATTGTGCAGAGAACTTCTGCAGTCAGACTGTTCTTAGCCGTGGAACAGGTTCCTGTGACAGATCCATGATAGATCAGACAGTTTTCAGAGTTTCTCTGGCTGCACATAAAGCTCCAGCCCACTTGCTGTGAGGCAGCCTCGGCCAGCTGAGGGAAGAAAAACCAGCTGAGGCTCAGAGGACTATAAAACACAGCCCTGTGCATGAGGGCAACAACCAGGCCATACCCCGGATCTCCAGAAATGGAGAGGGGAGAGGCCACGCCAACTAGGGTGTCACTGTGAAATCCCCTGACACTTGAGCCCTTGGCAGGGTTAAGTGACAGAAGTCCTTACCCCAAGTCCCCTCGGTAACGTTGCACTCTGTTTCCAGGAGATCAGTCGTGCTGGTGGCTGCCGTAACAAAATTGGGATTCACGCTCTCCATGTCTGTGGAGGGGAAGGGAAGGCATCAGTTCAACAACCTCCGGGCTCCTGCCAGGGGTGAGTGCAATCCCAGCCACCATCCCTGCCTTCCCGAGCAGCACGGGGCTGAGACGTCACCACCAGAGGAGCAGAGATACCTGCTCACCTCTCAGCACCCGCAGGGATGAGCCTCTCCACCACACAGCGTGTGCTTCCTGACCCCAGCAAACTGCCAGTGTGTGCAGGAGCCTCCCCTGAGCTCGGCCAGAGAGAAGGAGCTGCAGCAAGAGCTTTCCTTTTTCCCATTTTAGCATAATTATAAGAATAGTCAGCCCAGCCCAGCTCAGGAGTCTGCCTAGTCCCATGCACGACAGCGAGGGGAGCCAGGGGGGGCTGCTATCAGCAAGGTAAGGAGCAAGCTGCCATCAGAGCACTCTTTCCTCAGGAACCTCCTCTCATATAGCTGGTTAGGGACCTTCTATTAGGAAGCTACAGCCAGGTCAGTTCACTGTCAGCACTGGCAGTTTTCTCCAAGACTTTGTCCATTCCCTTCTAGAGCCCTTTAAAGCACCTCACGGCACCGACTTATGCATCACAGTTAAGACTTGGGAAAAAAAAAAAACAAGTCAGCCACTTACTTTTCATAATCTGCTAACTTGATCATCAGCTCTACATACAATTAAATTATTTGTAACAGAATACTCGGTAAAGGGGAGTAAAAATCAACCCCACAAGCAGCAGGCAGCTGTCCCAAGAAGAAGAAGAAACGCCCTGTAGTCCAATTTTTTATTGTGCTGGTTGTGCTTCTCCACATGTGCATCAGCCTGAAAAGCACCCACCGTAGACCAGACCCTTCTGCCCCTGCATTGTCCTTCCAGCCCTCTCAGTGCTTCTACCTCCTCCTTGCTATCCTGTAGCCCCACAGTGCCCTACACCCGTGTTAACCCCACATGTCCCACACCTCCACACCATCTTTTCTGCTCCCTGTGCTTCCCCAGATCCACTCGACGTGGAGGCATCCTCACCTGACTGGAAGGAAATCTCGCTCATCATCATCCAGGTGTCAGCGAAGTAGAAGCGGCAAAGTATGGCTTTACCCACGCGCTGGTTGAGGGGGACAGTCACAAACCTAGCGCTGGGGTTTTTGTCATCTAAGACAGTTGCCACCCCGACAGGTTCGGGCTCCCAGTCTGCAATCAGGCGTGGTTTGAACAGACACTCCACCTTCTGGAAGATCTTCACCCCCTTGGAAAACATGTTGTTACAATGCACCTGGGAAGAAGAGGAGCAGATCAGAGAGGAGGAAGGCTTACGCACACCTAAATCAAGCCACAGGGATTTTCTGTTCATGAAGATTTTCTGTTTCTAATTTCTCCCTGTGTGAATACTCCTAACCCAGAATGAGTGACTTGTTCCAGCAGAGCTTCATCCACTCGTAGTGTACAATCAGAAAATTTGTGCAAAATTGATTCTGAAATAGCTCTTAACTTTACCCGCATTAACATTAATGGTCAAATATGGGGAGGCTCTTCAAAAGGCCCATGTAAAAATCAAACAAACCAACCCTGTACTAATCTAAAGCTTCACAGACCAATTCTCTTGAACATACACAGACTAATTCCCATGAACATACACCCTAAGAGGGGAAAGAAAACCACACCAGGGCTCTAGCCTCTTCTAGAAAGCCTTCAGCATCCACAGTCTAAGATTGCTTCTTCCAAAAAAATGACCAAGCAATACATGCAGGCTGGAGAAGATATTCCCCCTTGACACACAGCAGCTCTTCTGCTATCGGTGCTCCTTGAAGACAACTGAAGATCTAAATTTTCTTTACACCATCGCGTAAGCCTGCATCCACCAACCTCTCTTGATGGCTCAGTAGATCATTGGGCTGTCCCTGCTCCCACCACTGGCGTAGCTAATGATGTGGAATTTGAAGGGCAATCACTAATCACCTGCTGCTGCTGCCAAGCTAACATCTCACTGAAACAAAGGTGTCCTCTCTCATCTCTGAGGTGGTTCTTCATAAGCCACTTCAGACTAAGCAGTTCGCAAACTGCTTTGAGGCTGACTTCACACCTCTGCATTTGGGAGGTTTGTTTTACCCTCCCTTTCTGCTCTTGGTTTGCACCCAAACAAAGAGGCTCCAGCATAGAAGTGACATCTCTGTGTCCCTGGGCTGTGGCCCTGCAGACCCAGCAACACCAAAGTCCTGGGACTCTCCCAGGCCTCCAGAACTTCCAAGGAGCAGGCTTTGCAAAGAGGGACAAGGCTTGGAAGGATCCCTTAATGCTGTTTCTTCAATGCAAATCTCGCCCTGCACCTTTTTAAACAAACTAACATGGCAGTTTAAATCCTGCCACCCAGTCCTGAAGATCTAAACCACATTATTTTGGCACTGGGGCCAGTGATCAGGAACAAGGTGACCCTTAAAGTCTTCAGTATCCCTCAGTCCATTCCGTTTCCATAGCCGTGGTGGTCTGACCCTCCCTGGTGACTCCAGGAATTATTTCCTAATGACGATGGAGTATTAGCAACTGTGACAACAACAGCTTCCAAACGAAGGGCAGCTTTGAACTTTATTAATTGCTTGGCCTCTGTGAGGTCTCGCAGTGGATAGCAGCGAAGCAGTAATGAGGACGACAGGCCTGATGAGCAGTAAAAAGACAAAAGAGGGGTATTTGCATATAATTAGGAACAGATGAAGCTTAGACAACGTTATTCAATAAGGAGAAATAGTCATCCATAACAAGGCAGGGAAGGCTGAAGCCTGCACTATACAATTTGTGCCGTATTTGGAGAGGAGTTGGATACGGTCACATCTTGGACTGCTCCAGAGACACTGTCTATTCCAGACACCGCCTACCAATGTCCAATTTTATAACAGGCAAGCCTAAGTCATTTGCAATGCAGCTGCAATATTTGCTAACGTTTATTTTTAATACTTCCTTGGATACTGGGCAAGCTCAGAAAACTGGACTGAAGCTAACAGGTATGAAGCTACAACACAGCATTTACAAGCCACCTGGCCTGTAGAAAATACATGCAAAGCTGAAACAGACAACGTTCAATTAAGAATGAAGAATAATTTACGCTAATCAATACAGCTTTACAATGAAATACTAAATGAAACAGCTATTTTTATGAGCCTATGTGTTTGGTTGATCAGGGTGGCTGCGTTTATGTGATTTACCATATTTTTATAAGGCATTTGACTTACTCATTATAACATGTGATTCCAATTAGCATAGTATGAACTCACAAACTACATTAATGGATTAAAAATTTGTCAACTAGTAAATCTCACAAGTTTCAGGGCACAAATCATTCTTCTGTAGGTGTTTTTCTAGCAGGAATGTATTCCTAGCTCAAGGTTATTCGCTACCTTTTTCAATGATCTGAAAAAGACAGCAGAATCGCTAGCAATAAGATCAATTAAATGAGGAAATAAATAAATCAAAGTTTCCTAAAATAATCTGAAGTTTTCAGGACTGACTCATTTCAGGTGAACTCGGGAACAACATGTAAGTGATGCTTTCTAAACTGGACTTTTATCCTGGACACCAGTAACTTTGAACTGACTTTTAGCATGATACCAAAGCCTTAATGAACACCGGCTCTGTCTGTTGGCGAGGAGAAGCGATATGATCACAAAATTCATAAACAAAGAAAAATCACCCAAAAGGAGGAAAGTGGTACCACTCTTTTACACAGTTTGATGGAAAACCTGCATTCAGTTCCGGTTTCCATACAGCCAAAAGAATACTGGCAAAGGAAGAAAGGATTGGAAGACAGCTACAGGAATGACCCTGGATCTCATGGGGAAGGCACTGAGAAGTTCAGGCCGCTTAGATTACTGAAGAAAAAATTAAGAGAGTGGTTTAATCACAGTGTAGAAGCAGGAAAGTTTCTGAGAAGGCAGGGCTCTTTCTTTTTTTGCCAGCAAAAGCAGACCAAGAGCCAATGGTTGCAAGTTAAAAATAGACAAAATAAAACTAGGGTAAGTAACCACCAAAACAATTTACTTAAGGATGTGGTGGGTTCCCCTTCATTTGAAATCTCTACAAGAAAAGCCACCAATCCTTTTTAAAGGATTCTTCTGTTTACTACAGACTCAAAGTTCAGTTCATCCTTTTCCTGTGTGTTTAAGAAATTTCCCACAGCACAAGCAAAGATTGAGGCATCGAGAGAAATTTTTGGTCAAAACGGAAGCACGTTCCTTTACCTCAAGGGTCAGGCAGCCCTTAGACAGTAAGTAGCCTACATCCTAAATCCTCCTCAGCTGCCCAACCACTGCTTCAGATGGCTGCCTGTTATCCCTTTGAGCCAAATACTGAAAGGAGAGGGACAGGATGCCACCCAGAGGGACCTGGACAGGCTGGAGACCTGGGCCTGTGCAAACTTCAAAGTTCAGCAAGACCAAGTGCAAGGTCCTGCACCTGGGTCGGGGCAATCCCAGGCACAAATCCAGGCTGGGGAGAGAATGGACTGAGAACAGCCCTGAAGAGGATTTGGGGGTGTTGGTGGATGAGAAGCTCAACATGAGCCAGCAACGTGCGCTGGCGGCCCAGAAAGCCCCCCACACCCCAGGCTGCACCCCCAGCAGCGTGGCCAGCAGGGCGAGGGGGGGGATTCTGCCCCTCTGCTCTGCTCTGGGGAGACCCCCCTGCGGCGCTGCCTCCAGCTCTGGGGCCACCAACATCGACATTGTTGGAGCAGGGCCAGAGGAGGCCATGGAGATGCTGGGAGGGCTGGAGCCCCTCTGCTGGGAGGACAGGCTGAGAGAGTTGGAGAAGAGAAGGCTCCAAGGAGACCTTAGAGCCCCTTCCAGTACCTGAAGGGGCTCCAGGAAATCTGGGAAGGGACTCTGGATCAGGGAGGGCAGAGATAGGACAAGGGGGAATGGCTTCAAACTGAAAGAGGGGAGATTGAAATGAGATCTGGGGAAGAACTTCTTTGCTGTGAAGGTGGTGAGAATCTGGCCCAGGTTGCCCAGAGAAGCTGTGGCTGCCCCATCCTTGGAGGGGTTCAAGGCCAGGTTAGGGGGGGCTTTGAGCAACCTGGTCTGGTGGGAGGTGTCCCTGCCCAGGGCAGGGGGGTTGGAGCTAAATGATTTCTACAGGTCCCTTCCAATCCAAACCACTCTGCGATTCCATGAGCTCTGGAGAGGCAAGTGCTCCTCTGCTTCACTTTCTACATTGACAAACTTGGGATGACTCCTGTTCTGTCTGTGGTGGACTCTACTGTCAGGCTCCTCATATCCTCCTGCTTTGCAAAGAGGATGCAGAAGGGATATTTGGAAACACCCAGACTCAAAGCCAGCCCAGGCTGCTGAAGAGGGACAAAGCTGACTACCTTCATGGAGGTGAAGTTCCGTGGTCGGTCAAACTGGAACTCCATTTCAACAGAGCCCGTGCTGAAGCTCTCGTTCTTCCAGCCAACATAGTCATAGCCCGGCCACACACGGTACTGGTGGCTCTGTGTGAAATCATCCAGTCCAAGCACACCATCCGTCAGCTGGCCCAGACCACCGTACAAGTGCCTAGTGAGAAAGAACCAAGAGTTAGGCAGAATCCAGCCCAGAGAGCTCAAATGGGAAAGCACACAGCTCCTTCAACGGGTACCAGGAAAATATTAGTTTGTTTATTTATCTTAACCCATCCTGGACAAGAACTCATTCCCTGTTATTACACAACATCACTTATTTTGTTCAGGCTGGGCTTTCAAAATCTTTCCCTGCTTGGGAAAAGGCAGAAGTTTTTGTATTGATATCAAGCACCGACGGCAAAGCCAAGCTACGAGCAGAGCCTCTCGAGAACAAAAACAGACTACAGAAAATGACACTCTGTGCTCTCAAACAGCTTTAATTGCGGCATTTCAGCATGGAGCTGCATGGGAGGAACCGCTCCATCCTGTCCTGGGGGATCCAGTAGGGAAAGCTTTGCAGGCGGGCACAGAAAAGCAGGAAAAGCAGCAAGACCACGGGCAGCTCAGGCAGCTGCCAGCTCTAACCAGGATCATTTCTGGCATTGCTCCTCGTGCCAGAGGGGAGTGTTATCGGCTCCTTTTCCAAGGCTGACCAGGCTCTTCACCCAGGACCCTGCCTCATTCTGCCTCCTAACCAAGGGTGCAGAGCCCCCTGTACAGTTTCCCAGCACAGCCCCAGAGCAGAAGGTGTCAGGTGTGGGACACTCCTGACTCACCTGCCCTTCTGGGCACCATCCCTGCCATGTCCCTTGTCCTACAGCAGGGAAAATGCAAACAGTTTGGCTCTATTAGTGCCTGAACTTGCTGCCTGGACCCGTTCCATCCAGCCGCCTCTGGCGGCGTTTGCAGCCCGGGCTGGGCTGCTGCGTGCACTGAAGCTCTGCAAGTCCATCCCAGTGGAGCTCTCCTGACACCAGAATTTGCACAGGTATGTGGGCCTTTGAACTCCAGAACAGGATTAGCAGCTGGAAGAGGCTGACACCTGCTCCCAGGCCAGTCAGGGATATGACCTCAAGGTTAAGGAGTTTGAAAAGTCCTTGCTTAGCACATTGGGGTTTGTGTCTACATCTGCAGCTCCCTGACACTCCCCAGCAGACCCTGCTCCCTCAGTTACTGCCACACAGCCAAGTGTAGCACCTACACCTTTCTGCACACAAATCCCTTCTTTTTTTTTTTTATTTAATATCCAATTCCTACTATTATCTATGCAGCTTGAAAGCATCAGATATTAACATATAAAGACATTGTTACCCAGTATCTTGCAACACCCCACAAGCGTGAAGAATGCACTTTTCACCCCCTTATTTTAACCTCCAGCACCACAGAACACAATGATGTTTACAAAAATCACCTCTAAGCATGAAAAAAATTATAGGCAACATTAAACATTTTCAGGAAGCGAATACCAACTGAAACAGGACGTAAAATAAAAGCATCTTAAGTCAACGGATGACACCGGGTCACTGAGGAGACACTGTCGGGTCACTTATTAGGCACATTCCCACCCAGGCAGGGATATGGTACCTCGAGAGGACACCCATGCCCAAGTCTGTCTGAGGTTTCAAGACACTGAAACACACTTAGATACCTATTTATAGCAAAGAAAGTGGTCACACTAAATGTCTGAAAGTTCAGGAAGTTATTTAACATTTCAGCTACAGACTCTTAATGAGCTCTCCTTCCATAAGGGACAAGTACTGAGTAAACCAGAGACACCTCAAAATGTCAATAACGTGCCACCCTACCCAACTAATCCGTGACATGAAAAATTAACAGACCTTGTAACGAGCTGCCAAAATCCAGGTACTTTAGGCTTTTTGACTCCAAATTGGAAAAGCATCATACCCAAGAAATCTTTACAGTGAGTAATCAGCCACCATCCTCTCATGCCACATTGGCAATGGTGCCTTTGCTGCCCTGGAGCTTCTCACAGGGAGTGATGCAGTTTTCCAAGTTGTTTCAAGTCCATCAGAGCTTTGCTTTCAAAAACAATTATCTCAAAATCTGTCCAGAAGCTCACAGGTACCAAGTGCAGGCCTAGAGTTCAGGTGTTGCACGCTTTCTTGGATGCCCAGTTTACCCTGGAGACCTCCTGCAACAGTTTAAGATGCAATCTGCTAGAGAATGCATTTCCCATATCAAACTGCAGAAGCAACAAAGGCAACAAGGAGGGGAAGGACCTTCATCTGCTCCAGGGACAATAGGATGGAGGTAAAGGTCCAGCCAGCTCCCCCACTCCAATCTGGGGCAATAGAAGAATAGCAGCACATTATGATCTGCAGTATCCATGACAGCTTAAGGCTGTACCTGAACCAACAAAGAAATCAGTGCAATGAATATGGTCACAATTAGAGACCAAGAGCAATGAGGGCTTTAAGGCAGTCAGACACATCAGCACTGTGTCATCACATCATGTAAAGATGGAAGCTACGAACAAAGACAGCACTCAGCTGTATAAGGACACATTCTTCTCTTTAAAGAGAAGCAACAACAACTTCTATTAACTTTTTTATTAATAAAAAAATAATTTCTTCCCTACCAGGCTTTGGCAGCTGGGGGAAATGGATCTGATGCATCCTGAGCCCATGTCCTCCTTTAAAAGAGGAACTAATAATGTGTCAAAGGGCCTGGAATAATGAAGCCATGATGCTCTGGGGAACTAATAGGCTGGCTTGCAGCTCTGGAGACCTCAAAGAAGCGTTTGGGATACAAGATACTAGTGATAAGGTAAGTAGGAAAGAAGAAATAATTTGCACAGTGACCGAGAGAGAACAGGACGACTTCTCCCACCTGCGCTCCTGGTAGCCATCATAGGTCGAGTCATTCAGATAAACGATGGGGAAGCCAGGAGCCGCTATTGTCCCTCCTTCAGGGATGCTATAGGATGCCAAACCATCTAAAAAAGAAGGCCATATACCTCAGAAACACAGCAGCAGCAGCCTTCCATCATCTCTGTCCATATGATCCTTTTATTTACGATGTGGACCAACAGAAGCAGTTCCGTAGGCCTGGGATTCCCTCTGCATACGTGGGGACGCAGGCGGGTCCCAGTCAGCATTGTTTAAGGACTACTTTCCAGTGACAGGCATGGGAATGGCTACTTACCATACCAGACACAGCCATAGAGCTCCACCCTCATACAGACAGTCATGGGCATCTCCGTCACTGGAATCACCCGCACGAAACGTGCGATGATGGGAGGCCGAAGATCTTTCAAGACCACGTCGTAAGTATCGATGTTGCCTTGGATCACCTGGAGAAGAGAGACCCTTACCAGCAACTTCTCCCTGTCGTGCTGGTCATTCGTACAGCGGTGTACTTGTCCCCCATCATTTGAGACTGGGGAGCTTTCCCATGCAGTACCTGCAGAGGATTAGCTGCTGCTGCTCCCCTCCTACCTGGTACATGGCTTATGGGGTGAAGGGTGCTGCCATGTCACCTCCTGTCCACTGCAGGCCCATACCAGGCACTATTCTGAGGAAGAGGAGAAAGGCAGGCTGGAGAGTAGGGCCCGAGAGGTGATTGTCCCCCTGTACTCGGCACTGGTGAGGCCTCACCTTGAGTACTGTGTCCAGTTTTGGGCCCCCTACCATAAAAAAGACATTGAGGTGCTGGAGCGGGTCCAGAGAAGGGCGACAAAGCTGGTGAGGGGTCTGGAGAATAAGTTTTCTGAGGAGAGGCTGAGGGAACTGGGGTTATTCAGCCTGGAGAAGAGGAGGCTGAGGGGAGACCTTATTGCTCTCTCCAACTCCCTGAAAGGAGGGTGTAGAGAGGTGGGGGTCGGTCTCTTTTCTCAAGTCACAGGCGACAGGACAAGAGGAAATGGCCTCAAGTTACACCAGGGGAGGTTCAGATGGAGATTAGGAAAAATTTTTTCACGGAAAGGGTTCTCAGCCCTTGGAATGGGCTGCCCAGGGAGGTGGTTGAGGCCCCATCCCTGGAGGTGTTCAAAAGCCGGGTTGATGTAGTGCTGGGAGGTCTGGTTTAGTGATGATGCTCCTTGTTTGTTGTGTGGGTGTCTATTTTTGTCAGTGAGGTTGACGGTTGGACAAGATGATCTTTAAGGTCCCTTCCAACCTAGAGGATTCTGTGATTCTGTGATTCTGTACATGTGGATGATACATTGCAGAAAGCTCCAGTAACTTGCACCTAACTTTCTTTCTTCAGGTGACTTTCCACGTTCTCTCTAACAGCAGTTAACTGAGCACTTGCCCTCATCCTTTGTTACCTGGCAGAGGGTCCTGATGCCCTTTTTCTATGAGCCTACAAAATTCCAGAGGTGCTGCGGCGTTTGGGGGATGAAGGTGCAAGTAGCTGCAAAGCAGATGTTCAGAACAGAAGTGTTTGGCGTTGCCTCGGTCACCCCATCCCGCTGAAATACAGCCTGACAGGGCAGGGACTGTCACCCTCCCTGTCCCCTGTTTCACCACTGCTCTGGGAACAGCCCACTATTCATTTTGACAGTCGGTGTGTGGAAACAGCCGAAGCTGTCAATCCCCCAGCAGTGGCCAGAAGTGCCTGAGAGATTTTTTTTAAAAAAAATATGGACCCGTGGAAACACAGTAAGAACACTTTTGATATCAAAAGTCTGAACTGTAAGTGTGTGGGCTTCATCTAAGCTGGCTCCACAAGACCTTGCTGGCAGGAGATAAAACCCAAGAGGAGATAACATAAGGCAGAATATCCCACATCTTCATACAGGAGTTGAACAGATCCTCTGGAGCTGCCCATTTCTTGGGGAATCTTGGGGGTGGCAGGTATGTCAAGCCAAAAAGTCCTACGTGGACAGAATAAGAGGAAAAACTTACTCAGCTGTCCCCCTCAGCAAAAGGTACACATGCAGTGGCCCTGTGTTGGGAGAGCTGAGATTTTTGCCTGTCCTGGATGGACATCTTCCGAGAGATGAAGACACACTTTGCACAGCACCTCCACAAGGTGGGGTTGCTGCTATTGAGCACACTTGGTTTCTCAGGACCAAAAAACCCCGTGATAGCTGTGTGAGGAACAAACTCAGCACCAGCTTCCAGTCCTGGCAACTACTGATGGCCATCAAGAGTCCCAACACCACCAGGAATGAAGTGGTGCTGCTGGTGAACAACTGTAGACGGCTGATGTCAGAAGGCAGTAAGAGACCAGGACCAGACAGGGCTGCACCATGGAACATTAGTCATGGTGTCAGAGAGGAGGGGACAGGGACAGCAACCTGAGCAGATCAGAGCTGGAGGTGACTCTCTTGGTGAGGAGCTGCATGTGCTACACATCTAATGATGCAACGTCCCGTGAGATCTAAAACTTAACACATAGTGAAAGGGTTGGGTTTTCATTTGGCATTTTGGGTTTTTTTTGTTGGGCTTTTTTTTCTGAAACTATTTCTGTGATCTCCTTGGACAGAGGTGAAAGGGTTGGGTTTTCATTTGGCATTTTAGGGTTTTTTTTGTTGGGCTTTTTTTTCCCTGAAACTACTTCTGTGATCTCCTTGGACAGACAGATATGCCAAGATGGGCTCACACAGTCACACTTTGAAGTCTCAGTGATTTGGAATCTATCAACTACAGGACTGGAAGAGGACCCCCAGTGCATACAAATAAGTAGATTAGGGTCTTGCATCTTCATCTGCACCTCAGTCCAAAGCTTGAATGATTTTATAGGACCTTTTTACCAAATTATTTGGCCACACCACAGTGCTTTTAAAATACGGATTTGCTAATGGACACTGGTGACACATTTTGAAAAAAATGTTTTATGGAAGGTAATTTTACAGAGGAGCTGAAAGGGCAGGAATTGCACCCCATTATGTGTGTCATGTCCAGAACAGCAGCAGCAGAGGAGCAGAAGCATCTTCGAAGGATACCAGGAGGGAAACCTTTTTGGTCTCACATGATGGGGAACAGGTACGCACACTGACAGAATATACAGAATAGAAGAGAGGATGGCTCAAATGAAGCATGTATTCAGCTGTGTATGATGCTATATTACCTTATTATGGCCTAAGAGGGAGATCTTTCAAAAATTGACCCACACTAAATCGTAACACCTGACACAGTGCCCTAGAGCACTGCTCTGCACAGAACTGGGGTGGGAGACAAAACCCATTTAGCTGCTTGTGGACGTGTAACCAATTGAATGCTGAACTGAATTCTGATATAACTCGACACACAGACAGGCTTCACCTAGGGAAGTACCGATGAAGAACAGTTAGCCCCACGGAGTTTAAACTTGCCCTCCCATCCTGCAAACACAGAACACACCAAAATGAGAGGGATGGGCAAGATAATGGTAACGGCCAAATAGCCAGTCAAAGGTCTGAGTGAGCAAATAATTCATGAACAAGCCAGAAGCTATTAATTAACACTGCAATACAGCGTTGTTTAGATAAATAGACCCCACTGTGACTTCCAAAACACCCCCAGTGCTAGAAAACATCACCACACCAGTACCTGTTCTAGCTTGGCTTATGTCTTCAGACTCCACAAGCCAACCTGAGGCAGGGTGAGCAGGTCAGAGGAGCTGCAGGTGAGAGAAGGGGACTCCTGCCCAGGGAAAGTTTAATAAAGGCTTTTGAACACAACCCAGAGCCCAGCTAGGGCTGAGCTGTGTGCTCAGATCTGGGGACCGCAGGAGACAACAGTAGTGAGTGGGGAAGCTCTTTTGAGTATGCATGCTCAGCACATTTCCTGCCCTCTAAACTGCTTCCTCCCTACATTAAACACGGCTATCGGGCACCCAGAAACCCATCTCCATTCCCTGCCACCCCTTCCCTCTTTTTTAATCCCAAAGCAGGCATCTGCTTTGCAGCTTCCAAATTAGAAGCAAGTGTCTGGCTGGTAGAGGGACATTCCCATGATGTTCTGAACATGGGCAGAAAGGTAGTGAAGAGCCACATTTTTCAGTCGCAGCAGTGACTGGGATTTTGGGGATCAGGTCAGTAACAGTCCACCATCACAGCAAACAGAGGAATAAGGCAGGGGACAGTGAATGCCTGACACAGAAGAGTCAGGATAAAGTTTGATGCACCAGGGAGTACATAGAGGATGTGCTTTCTACAGTCTAGTTCTCAGTGACCTGACTTCTGTGTGCTCCACGATTCGGTTCCTACTGCACTCACCTTCCTGCCCTGACGATCTCTCCAGGAGATCCAGCGCTCTCCGTTGCGGCTGTAGTCAATCCGGTAAGCGCGGGCAAATTCCTTGCCCGTGGCACGGGCATGTCGTCCCTGAGTCCCAATCAAGGTGATGAAAAAGAGCTTGTGCAGGTCAATTTGAAGGAACTGCACATCTTCTGGCTGCAACAAGCCAGCCGGGCACCAGGCTCCATCCCCCTCTTCCCTTTGTAACCTGAGGGGAAAACCACACACATTAAAAATTGTCACTTCCAAGGATCCAGCCTTCCTAGTAACTGAGGAAACACCTTGAAACCTGAGGGGAAAACCACACACATTAAAAAAAAAAATGTGACTTCCCAGGATCCAGCCTTCCCAGTAACTGAGGGAACACCTTGGAACATGGTAAGGCAGGGGACAGTGAATGCCTGACACAGAAGAGTCAGGATAAAGTTTGATGCACCAGGGAGTACATAGAGGATGTGCTTTCTACAGTCTAGTTCTCAGTGACCTGACTTCTGTGTGCTCCACGATTCGGTTCCTACTGCACTCACCTTCCTGCCCTGACGATCTCTCCAGGAGATCCAGCGCTCTCCGTTGCGGCTGTAGTCAATCCGGTAAGCGCGGGCAAATTCCTTGCCCGTGGCACGGGCATGTCGTCCCTGAGTCCCAATCAAGGTGATGAAAAAGAGCTTGTGCAGGTCAATTTGAAGGAACTGCACATCTTCTGGCTGCAACAAGCCAGCCGGGCACCAGGCTCCATCCCCCTCTTCCCTTTGTAACCTGAGGGGAAAACCACACACATTAAAAATTGTCACTTCCAAGGATCCAGCCTTCCTAGTAACTGAGGAAACACCTTGAAACTTTGAGAATTGGGAGAAAGAAACCAAATCAGCAAATGAGACCTGATAGCTGGCTACCAAATGCCTCTCCCCTTTGGGGTGATGGTCAGTTGAGACTTAACGGAGTCCTGCAGTCAGTTTTGCCCTGTTCACAACAACTCTCTCCATTTCAGATAGCCTTCACTAACTGTTGGAGCAATTTCTTTCCCAGACACAGACTTTCATGTTGATTGGAAGAAACGATGCTCCTCGGTAGGTAATTGGACACTTGAGGCACTGGAACAGGTTGCCCAGGGAGGTCGTGGATGCCCCACCACTGGAGGTGTTCAAGGCCAGGCTGGATGACTATTTGAGCAACCTGGTCTAGTGGGAGGTGTCCCTGCCCATGGCAGGGGGGTTGGAACTAGATGATCTTTAAGGTCCCTTCCAACCCAAACCATTCTATGATTCTATGAACTTTGAGAATTGGGAGAAAGAAACCAAATCAGCAAGTGAGACCTGATAGCTGGCTACCAAATGCCTCTCCCCTTTGGGGTGATGGTCAGTTGAGACTTAACAGAGTCCTGCAGTCAGTTTTGCCCTGTTCACAACAACTCTCTCCATTTCAGATAGCCTTCACTAACTGTTGGAGTAATTTCTTTCCCAGACACAGACTTTCATGTTGATTGGAAGAAACGATGCTCCTCGGTAGGTAATTGCACACTGAATGCTTTTTAGCACCTTGCTGGTGAAATGCATACCCATTTCTCCTAAAGCCCATACAGTAAGGTCTGACCACCTCCTACAGCTCTAACAAGCACAAAGAGGAGCTATCTTAAAAACACATTTCAGAAAGAGAAGCTCTTGCCCATCTCGAAATTATTCTGGGTCATCTCAACACAACTTTCACCTTTCCTTCGTTCAGCAGAGGTGCTTTTGCAGGACACCGCCAGGTGTATGATGTGAAGGTCTCTGCTTCAAAATGGAACATTGTGGCACCAGCTGCAAAGATTAATGTTTTTATCCTTGGAGAAGGGGTGCCGAGCAGAGAGCTGCAGCCATCAGCAGGTGGAGCCACTGCAGGAAACGCTGCCTTACCCTGGCTGCTGCGGACCCGGCTGCGCAAGCCACAAGGTGGTGAGAGTTTGAAAGATGAAAAATTTATCCAGACACAAAAAGACCACAAAAAGAGCTTTTTAGCAACAGCGATTTCTTAGCAAAGAGCAAGCCCTCGAGGTGCCCTTGTCTTTGGGAGAGCCATCCTGTCTCTGACGAATTGGTAAGTGCTCAGCCCAAGCATCAAGTACTCAGAAGACACCGAAGGTCAAGGCACAGCCTAGAGAAGGTTTTTGTCTCGGGGTGGTCAGCTGTTTGTGCAAGACTTTCTTATGGTGAAGTGGCAAGTAAGAGAAGATATAAGAAAGGCAGGAAGGGTGACAGTGAAATGACAGGGACAGACACCTGCATAGGACAACTATGACCTCTAACAAAATAAAGTCAGCTGGAGGGTGCCTTCATGTCTTCGCCCTGTGGACATCCAGCTGCCCTGGCACTGAGATGATGGGAACAGATGGCAAGTGATGCCTGAAGAGCTGGTGATAAGCCATACCCCAGAGACTAAAATAGTCTCCCAGCTTTCAGACCCACGGGCTTCAAACTCCATTGACACATGACACTTAAAACCTTTGGTCTAATAAATAAATCAATCAACCACTAGGAGAATTCTGTGATTTTGGATTGCCCAAGTTAATCATAAAAACATAAGTGTCATAGTTAACCCGAAATTCATATGGTTTGCACCAAAATTGTTTGGTATCACCATTAGAAACAATTCTGAGGAAACCTACCACTATAAGCATTTGCAAATCCTCAGTTTGTAGCTTTGAGAGAAATGAAATGACCAAGAAATGAAAAGCCAAGCTTCTGAGAAAGACTGTAGTACTGCTTGACACAGAAAAAAATCCTTTAGCTGCTTTTTAACAATTCCTTAACTTCGCAGTTTCCAGGCTTTTGAGTCAAAGTGGACACAGCCCATTTCCTCAATAGGATGCTGTTGAAAAGTTCATCCTTGTAAATGATTTCCTACGATTTAGTTTAAAGTGCTCTACAATAATCCCAGGGGCGCTGTCCCTACCTGACCTGTAAGTCACAAATCCATTAGAGATTTATTCACGGAAGACAAGGGTCGGAAGCCACCTCTGGTCCAATCTCCTGCTCACAGCAGAGCCAACTCCGCAGCAACAGTGAGTTGCTCAAGGCTTGTACAGCCAAGTCCTGAAAACCTCCACACTCTGAGACTTAGCCCCTCTCAGGGTACCTGTCCCACCATTTCATTCTCATAGGGAAGGATTGTTTTTTCCTTAATATCAATTCAGAATTTCCTGTACCGCAGCTGGTGACCATGACCACTGCCTCTTGGTCTTTTATTAAGCACTAATTAGATTTAGTATGGAAGCAGTGAACAAGATCAGCAAATAGGTTTCTTTAAGGGTGAGGGAACTTCTTCCTTTATAACATACTGGATATATAGATGAGAAAAAAAGGATTACATTTCTTTGCCAGAGACTAACCTACCGTGCATACTGGGGTCCTGTGGAATCATACCACTGGCTGGAAGCTGTGATGTCTTCATCTCGTATCGTCCCTTCGTGCATCCCCAAGGGGTAACGGCAGATAGCTGCAAATGGGAACACAAGCAAGGAAAAAATAAATATCAGTACCAATGCTTTCTAAATTGCCAGACAAGTTTAATTAAAAGGCTATCACGCCTAGGGAATAAACATGGTAATGATAAAATGGAGAATGCAAATAAAATGGATCAACTACTTCATAGTTACCCTAAACTCCAATTATAAGCAATGAAATACACTCAAGAGTTAGCATCATAAAGCAGAGTCCAGGCAAGGCAAAAACTTTACAGAGGAACATTTTAAGAACATGAAATCCAAAACCATGTTGGTATTGGTTGCATGACCTATTTTACAATGAAAAATTATTTATCGATAATGATTTTGGATTGCCCAAGTTAATCATAAAAACATAAGTGTCATAGTTAACCCGAAATTCATATGGTTTGCACCAAAATTGTTTGGTATCACCATTAGAAACAATTCTGAGGAAACCTACCACTATAAGCATTTGCAAATCCTCAGTTTGTAGCTTTGAGAGAAATGAAATGACCAAGAAATGAAAAGCCAAGCTTCTGAGAAAGACTGTAGTACTGCTTGACACAGAAAAAAATCCTTTAGCTGCTTTTTAACAATTCCTTAACTTCGCAGTTTCCAGGCTTTTGAGTCAAAGTGGACACAGCCCATTTCCTCAATAGGATGCTGTTGAAAAGTTCATCCTTGTAAATGATTTCCTACGATTTAGTTTAAAGTGCTCTACAATAATCCCAGGGGCGCTGTCCCTACCTGACCTGTAAGTCACAAATCCATTAGAGATTTATTCACGGAAGACAAGGGTCGGAAGCCACCTCTGGTCCAATCTCCTGCTCACAGCAGAGCCAACTCCGCAGCAACAGTGAGTTGCTCAAGGCTTGTACAGCCAAGTCCTGAAAACCTCCACACTCTGAGACTTAGCCCCTCTCAGGGTACCTGTCCCACCATTTCATTCTCATAGGGAAGGATTGTTTTTTCCTTAATATCAATTCAGAATTTCCTGTACCGCAGCTGGTGACCATGACCACTGCCTCTTGGTCTTTTATTAAGCACTAATTAGATTTAGTATGGAAGCAGTGAACAAGATCAGCAAATAGGTTTCTTTAAGGGTGAGGGAACTTCTTCCTTTATAACATACTGGATATATAGATGAGAAAAAAAGGATTACATTTCTTTGCCAGAGACTAACCTACCGTGCATACTGGGGTCCTGTGGAATCATACCACTGGCTGGAAGCTGTGATGTCTTCATCTCGTATCGTCCCTTCGTGCATCCCCAAGGGGTAGCGGCAGATAGCTGCAAATGGGAACACAAGCAAGGAAAAAATAAATATCAGTACCAATGCTTTCTAAATTGCCAGACAAGTTTAATTAAAAGGCTATCACGCCTAGGGAATAAACATGGTAATGATAAAATGGAGAATGCAAATAAAATGGATCAACTACTTCATAGTTACCCTAAACTCCAATTATAAGCAATGAAATACACTCAAGAGTTAGCATCATAAAGCAGAGTCCAGGCAAGGCAAAAACTTTACAGAGGAACATTTTAAGAACATGAAATCCAAAACCATGTTGGTATTGGTTGCATGACCTATTTTACAATGAAAAATTATTTATCGATAATGATGCAACATAAAAAGGAAGAATTTGTTAAAGCTTTTTCTTCTTCTCCTGGAATAAACTGGATGCTCAACCTGCATTCAAATAGGAACTATTATTATTCTCAATGGTCCAGTAACAAGTAAGAAGTTAAACAGCTTCTGTTAGAGAGGACTAGACAGCCTACGGAAATATCTGCTCTGTCGTGTCTCTGCAGGTTAGAGCTTCCACTGGAGCCCAAGTCCCATCCTGGTCTGGTCCCTGCCTCCAGCCCCAAGCAGAGCAAGCTTTTCTCTCCAGTTCTTCTCCAGACTCTCAAACTTGGTGCCTCCAGGGAGCACAGACACAACAGATCTCAACAAGCTCAATACACCAAAGACGGTGCAGATGTGACTCACAAATCCAAGCTGGCCAAGCTCTCTCCCCTGACACAAGTTCTTAAGCGCATCTTGGAATACGAGAGATGCTTCAAAAAACTCAAAATGTTAATGTCTTCATTAAGGCTCAGTATTCAAAACAGGCAAGCAAGATATTTTTGTCAGACTGACATCAACAACAGATTAAGAAGAAAGTTATACAGGATTAAATCATGAAACAATTAAAAGACAAAAACACAGTCAATGGCGAGTCCCAGAAAAAAAAAGGAAATGGACTTTCCTATAGATTTTTGGCCTTTCCTATAGATTTTTGGCCTTCCTCTGAGCTCACAGCAGTCCCAGCTCCTCCCCTGTCTGCAGTGACACGACCAAGTGCCAGCACATGCTCCAGTCACTCCAGGGTGGCACACGTGGTGGCTGGCATCCTCACTGGCACACCGCCGTGCCAGCAGCTCTGCCTGCCCTGCCCTCAGCCAGGGCACTGCCTGGGGGTCCCCTCCTTTCTCTCTCGGGACTGCTGCCCCTGTGCCAAACCTGGATAAAGCTCTTCACCAGGTTCAGAGGCTTCAAGAGAAGATGGGGGCATGAAACCCACCTCGTTGTTACCACCACACAGAATAAACCACTGCAGGTTGAACCTGCCAGATTTCCGAGTAGGAATGCCTGCAGGGTTTGGCTGCAGCTGCTGTCAGGCACAGTGTCAATGAAGGTGTGATGTTCTATATAGTCCTAAATATCCTTGTAAAGGAGATGGGTGGTGAGGTGACAGTGTTTGCTGATGACACCAGATTGTTTAATACTTGAAAAAAAAACAAAACAACAAGTTATGGGAATAAATACCAAACAAACTAGAAAACACCATTACACCATTGTCTGTATTCGTGGCGAGATGCCAGCCTGATATGGAATAGAGCTCTTACTCCTTCCTTCTCCCATCCAAAGGCAGTGAAAGCCACACAGATGATGCAAAAGGAAAAGATCAGCAGCCTCATCACGACAAAAGGGGTCACTGAAGTATGACAAAAATAATGTATATCCTGAACATTTACTCACTGTCTCTCAAAAAACCAGAACCAGGAAGCATCAAAAGATCAGGCAGCAGAGTTCAAAAAAATCCCCATATGCATCCTAAATCTATTAAACACTCCAGAAGGCAAAGGTTCACGTGGGTTCAACAATCAGGTAGAGAAACTCGGAGCTACCACGGGTAAATACACCAGTGCCAGCTCAGAAAGCTTGGGGTAAAGCCCTGCTGTGTGGTTGCCCATCTGTGCCCTCTTCCAGAACCAGGACACCAAGCTGGCTGGGCCCCTGGTCTCACCCAGAATGTTCATGCATACGTCTGAGGTTTCTTAAGAGGCTTCTTTACAGGAGAATTGACTGGGAGGCAACTGGTGTCTGGCTGGGATCAAGCATGATGACCATGGTTGTTAAAAGCCAACCAAGAGCTCTAACCTTGCTCTGACACTGACCAGTAAGTTCACAGAATCACAGAATCACAGAATTGTAGTGGTTGGAAGGGACCTCAGAGATCATCGAGTCCAACCACCAAAAAAAAAAAAAAAAAAAAAAAAAAAAAAAACAAAAACCACCACCCACCACCAAAACAAAAAACAACAACAACCAAACCA